GGACGTTAGATCTGGATGAGCTCTACATTTTACACATACCTTGGAATTCGTGGGTTTTTATTTTCGCGACGTTATGCGGTTCCTCGTCATTTAAACCGGATTTTAACCATGAAGGCGTTGAGCCACGAACTTGGATTCTTCCACGGACGTTAGATCTGGATGAGCTCTACATTTTGCACATACTTTGGAATTCGTCGGTTTTTATTATCGCGACGTTATGCGGTTCCCCGTCATTTAAACCGGATTTTAACCATGAAGTTAAAGAGCCACGAGCTTGGATTCTGCCACGGACGTTAGATCTTGATGAGCTCTACATTTTACAGATACCTTGGAATTCGTGGGTTTTTCGCGACGTTATGCGGTTCCCCGTCATTTAAACCGGATTTTAACCATGAAGGCGTTGAGCCACGAGCTTGGATTCTTCCACGGACGTTAGATCTGGATGAGCTCTACATTTTGCACATACTTTGGAATTCGTGGGTTTTTGTTTTCGCGACGTTATGCGGTTCCCCGTCATTTAAACCGGATTTTAACCATGACGGCGTTGAGCCACGAGCTTGGATGCTTCCACGGACGTTCGATCTGGATAAATTCTACATTTTGCACATACCTTGGAATTCGTGGGTTTTTATTTTCGCGACGTTATGCGGTTCCCCGTCATTTAAACCAGATATTAACCATGAAGTTAAAAAGCCACGAACTTGGATTCTTGCACGGACGTTAGATCTGGATGAGCTCTACATTTTGCACATACTTTGGAATTCGTGGGTTTTTATTTTCGCGACGTTATGCGGTTCCACGTCATTTAAACCAGATTTTAACCATGAAGTTAAAGAGCCACGAGCTTGGATTCTGCCACGGACGTTAGATATGGATGAGCTCTACATTTTACACATACTTTGGAATTCGTGGGCTTTTATTTTCGCGACGTTATGCGGTTCCCCGTCATTTAAACCGGATTTTAACCATGAAGGCGTTCACCCACGAACTTGGATTCTTCCACGGACGTTAGATCTGGATGAGCTCTACATTTTGCACATACTTTGGAATTCGCCGGTTTTTATTTTCGCGACGTTATGCGGTTCCCCGTCATTTAAACCAGATATTAACCATGAAGTTAAAGAGCCACGAACTTGGATTCTTCCACGGACGTTAGATCTGGATGAGCTCTACATTTTGCACATGCTTTGGAATTCGTGGGTTTTTATTTTCGCGACGTTATGCGGTTCCCCGTCATTTAAACCGGATTTTAACCATGAAGGCTTTGCGCCACGAGCTTGGATTCTTCCACGGACGTTAGATCTGGATGAGCTCTACATTTTGCATATACCTTGGAATTCGTGGGTTTTTATTTTCGCGACGTTATGCGGTTCCCTGTCATTTAAACCAGATATTAACCATGAAGTTAAAGAGCCACGAACTTTGATTCTTCCACGGACGTTAGATCTGGATGAGCTCTACATTTTGCACATACTTTGGAATTCGTGGGTTTTTATTTTCGCCACGTTATGCGGTTCCCCGTCATTTAAACCGGATTTTAACCATGACGGCGTTGAGCCACGAGCTTGGATGCTTCCACGGACGTAAGATCTGGATAAGCTCTACATTTTGCACATACCTTGGAATTCGTGGGTTTTTATATTCGCGACGTTATGCGGTTCCCCGTCATTTAAACCAGATATTAACCATGAAGTTAAAGAGCCACGAACTTGGGTTATTCCACGGACGTTAGATCTGGATGAGCTCTACATTTTGCACATACTTTGGAATTCGTGGGTTTTATTTTCGCGACGTTATGCGGTTCCCCGTCATTTAAACCGGATTTTAACCATGAAGATCAGCTCAAAAGTTAAAATAAATGTCATATTCGTGTTCAGCAGGGTCAACTTAACTAATGCCATGAATCTGAAGTGATTTGGAATTCGTCGCTGAATACGTATACGTATACGTCGCTAAGTTCACGGACATCGGGGGTGCTCGCCAAGAAGACCAATGTCTCCATCCTATGATCCTTCCGGGTCTGAAATGGTCTTGTCAGACCGAAAAAGCATAACCCAACAAAACAAACCAAATTAGTCATCTGGCTGCGTGGTGTAGTGGTTAGCGCACTAACCTCGCGTTTGAATGACATGGGGTTCGAATCCCATCGCCGGCTGATCCTTTTGGCGTGTTGTCCCAGTAAACATGTCGACGTCGGCGACTGGGGGGCTCGAATCTCGCCGCCGGTTGATTTTTTTTGCGCCTTGTCCCAATAAACATGCCGACGTCGGCCCCGTCGGTCCAACGACAAACGATCTCGTCAACCTCGGCAAACGATATCGGCCCGACGTCGGCTCGACGTCGGCTGGACTTCGGCTGGACGTCGGAACATGCGGGCATATCCGACGTCCAGCCGATGTCGGGCCGAGGTTGAACCGACGTTGGGCCGACGTCGGGCCGAGCCTCGGCCCGACGTCGGGCCGACGTCGGCATGTTTACTGGGACATTATCTGTAAATTGTTAATCTCGGAATTCTGATATCGGTGACCTTAGGTCAGGTCAATTTTGCGGCCTCTCCATTATAAGTCAATGGGAGAAAATTGAAAAGCGTCTATTTTGCACGAACGCTATTCTAGACACTCTCAAACATCGAGATGTACCTACGTAATATTGACACACTGAACCGGAAAATGGCAACTGTGGCCCCTCGTTATGTCCACGAGGTCATCTCAGGTCACGAATAGAATCTAACAGTTTTTCGCTAATAACTTCTGATCGAGACGTGCTAGAGCGTTGAAAACGCCGTAGATGTGGTCGGCTCGACGTTGCGGATCGACTGATATGCAACATGACCTTTTTTCCGGTCAGGTCATGACCTTGACCTGAGGTCAATTTTCAAGTTGACCTTTAACCCGCGCCCCGCTGGGCTATTCAGCCATACGCGCCCTGCTGGGGGGGGGGGGGCAGATTCTGCCCCCCGGTCTAACTTCCGAACCGATGGTCGTAGAAAGACGGGGAAAACGGCACTCGAAAGCTCTCAACAAGGCGGATCTTAAGAGCCTAATTTTTTTGCTTAAGTAGGTCAGAGGTCAGGTCAAGGTCAGGTCAAGGGTACAAAATGCAAGTTTCTACAGTATCGGCCTTGCACCGTAGTTGCCGAAGAATGGACTGAGACTGATTGCCCAAAACGTGTTCTTAGATTACCAAGACAATATTCGTTGCATACAATGTCATTCAAAGGTCAAGGTCAAGGTCAGGTCAGGTCAGGTCACCAAAAACAAAATATAGAAAAGGGCATGTGCGACACATGTTTTATGGGTCATTTTACTCATAGAATTCAATAGGCACACTCAATAAGTGATATGGACCACCTCTGGATGAATTTCAGGTCGAGGTCAGGTCAAGGTCAGGTCAAGTGAGGTCAAATTTTGAAGTTGGTTGTTAAGGCCTAAAAAGGTGTCTATCTGATGCAGTTTTTCACGGCGAATCGAATGGTGCAACTTTTGTTTCCGTAATCCGTACGAGGTCTAGAACTTCCCAAAAAGCATTTTTCAAAATTTTTGTGTGTCATGACGTCATAAAATTTTGAATAACTCCCACATTTTTGAACTGATTCTTCTAAAAATTGGTATTTAGGTGCACATAGACCACTTCTCTGACATATATTCCGGTTTTTTCGATACACTCAAAATTTTGGATTTTATATTTATAATCCCAAAAAAGTTAATTTTTTGAAGAAAAAAAATTGGGCCAAAATCCAAAATTTTCAAAAAACCGAGATAGCCATTTGATAGACAAAGTAAAATCACGTATAACCTTTTTTGTTACGTCTTGATTTCTTTAAAAATGAAGATGTTAGCGGCGTTTGAAATTTTACCGTTTTTTAGGCGAAAATGGCGAACATGACGTAACTAAAACGTCGATTTCTCAAAAAAAAAATTCCGACGGATTTCGCTCACATTTTCAGGGAACGTGTCAAATTGATGTATGATAAGGTACTGAAAGTTTGACGTCGTTGGCGTAACGCGTTTAGAAGTTTTTGGCGAAAAACGAGAGGGGGGCAGATTCTGCCCCCCCCCCAGCGGGGCACGGAATAAAGGTCAAATTATAATTCATTCGACGCGTCTCGACGAGAGGAACACGATAGGTACTGGCAAAAAGTAATGTCATGGTTCTTTTGAGTCAAAAGCTATTGCCGAAAAAAACGTTTTTCGTAAAAACGGCTATGTTTTAGTTTTTGCCCTCTGGAGGCTAAACCGTTGACCTGAGGTCAAATCTGAGAACGTTACTCAGAAAGGTCTGTAAAAGGGCTATCGAATGCGCTTTTCCGCGGCGCTGTAGCTCTATCGGTTCCCGAAATAGCCGTTGGCAGTTTCCAAAATGTTGAAATAGTAGGTACCTAAATATTTTACCTTTGGTGACCTCTGGTGACCTGACCTTTGACCTGACCCAAAAATGACCGAAGTGTTTTCGTCCTTATTTTGGACGTTTTTTCGATTGCCTCTTGCGTATCGCTACGTGGCCCAGGAGCCGAGTTAGAAGGGGGGGGGGGTTCAGACACCCCCCCCCCGGCCCGGCGCGGAATCTCAGAGCACCGGCCCGGCGCGGGTTAACCTGCGCCCGGTGGGGTCTGTTTATAACGCGACCTAACGGGGGCTATTCCCCCCCCCCCTCATATCTCCGAAACTACTGGACGGATCCGCAAAATTCAAGCGGCGTTCAAAAGCCCTGTCAAATATGTCGAAAGTGACGATCGGCGCAGCGGTTCTGGAGATATATCCAAAGGTCTGGAGGGGGGGGGCAAAATAGCCCCCCCCCCCTCCACCAGGGCGCGGGTAAATGTCCGTGCCGATGTGAGATGTCAGTGTTAGTGTCAGTGTCCTACACCGTGTACTGACGTCAGTGTCCGTGCTGAATACTGATGTCACAGTCACGGTGACAGTAGGAACTGACGCTAAGCTATAGTGTCCCTGGTCCCGGTGCTGTATGCGACTAATACGGCGTCCTCTGCCCTCCGGCAGGCGGGTGCCGCTCGGAGCCGCTGTCGGCCGCGCTGGCCGCCCTCCTGACGTTGAACCCGCCGTCCGAGGTCACCATCGTCGGCACCGACAGCGGTCGGGAGGCGGCCGGCTGCCTGACGCGCCGCCTCTGGGCCGCCGGCGTGGCCACGGCGCACGAGACGGCGTCCTCCGAGCACGGCGGCGGCACGCTGGCCGTGCTCGGTACGGCCCGGGACGTGGCGGCGGCGTACCGGCGCGTGCGGCCGCCGGGGCCCGTCCACCGGACCGCCTGGTTCGTGGCCGTGCTCGGCAATGTGTCCGAGGTGGCGGCGCCGCTGGCCGGGGCGCTGCACGAGTCGCAGCGCGTCACCGTGGCGCTGTGCCCGTCGGCGGCCGGCTCGCCGTGCGCGCTGCTGGCCTCCTCCTCTCCGGGCGACGGCTCGGTGCGTCTGTCGGCGGTGGGCGCCGTCACCGACGGCCGGGTGACGCTGTCGGCGCCGCCGCCCGACTGGCGGCTGCGCCACCTCGGCGGACGGCCGCTGCGAGTGGCGCTCACCACCGCCGGAGCTCCGTCCGAGCCGTGCACTCATGACCTGTTCGGCTACCGGCCGCTGCCCGACGGCGGCGCCCACTTCTGCGGCTACCTCGGGGAGACGTTCGCGCTGCTCGCGGCACACCTGCGATTCCGGATAGAGGCGAAGATTATTGGCGGCTGTGGCATGACCCTCACCAACGGCTCGGCCTACGGTCGGCTGGCGGCACTGCAGCGCGGCGAGGCCGACATCGGGGTGGGCAGCTGCACCGTCATGTACGAGCGGGTGCGCGCCGTCGACATGGCCGAGTGGCATTGGACCGGTACCACCACGTTCGCGTCTGCGTCGCTCCGACCGGCCAGCTCGGCGTTCTTGCTGTTCGAGGTGTATCGTCCGGCGGTGTGGGCGCTGGTGCTGGCGCTGGCGCCGGCGGCGGCCGCGCTGCGCTGGCTGACGGCCGCCGCCGAGCGCCGCTGTCGGCTGCCCAGCCGCCGGCAGCGCTGGTCGCCGCTGCTGCTCGAGTCGGTGGCGCTGCTCTCCGGCCAGGGCGTGTCGGCGCGCGGCGCCGGCGCCGCCGGCCGCACGGTCGTCTTCTTCCTGTATGTGGTGACGGTGACGCTGGCGGCCGTGTACGCCGGCAACCTGACCGCCTTCCTGTCGCTGCCGCGCTGGCAGCCGCCGCTCGACTCGCTCGAGCAGCTGGCCGACTCGGACGTGCAGCCGCACGTGGTGCGCGGCCACAGTCAGTTCCACATGTTCCAGAACCAGACCACCGGAGCGCGCGGACGCATCTGGGCCAAAATGACCGCCTGTCCCGATTGCATCCACCGCTCAACCACGTCCACATACACCACATCCTTTCTGAAACGAATCGCCTGCGGGGAGGCCGTCCTGTTTCAAAGTCCTCGTTCGCTGATCAATCGCGCCCACCGCTTGATGGAGGAAACTGGTCAGACCAGCGAACGCTGCCCGTTCCACCTGGCTCGCGAGAACCTGCGGCGCGACTTTTACGCCATGATGTTGCAGAAGAACAGCATGTACACGCCGCTGCTGGACGACTCGATCCGGTGGCTGAAGCAGTTCGGCATCGTCCAGTACCTGTACCGTCGTAACGTTCCGTCCCGGTGCGGCGGCCCGGCGACCGGAGCCGCCGTCTCCGCCGCCCCCAAAATGAACCTCTCCGTGCTGCGCGGCCCGTTCTTCTGCTGGATGGGCGGCATGGCGCTGGCGTGCGTGGCATTCTTCGTAGAAAGACTGTCAGCGTTTGGAAGCAGCAAACCGACGGTGCTTCAAGGGAATGTGAAATAGTGGTAGCTGGTAGTGTAAAGAGACGAAATTTATGGGAAGGGTATGGTAACCATGTTGAAAAGTGCGTGATAGGGAACTAGATGGCTGCTGATTACCCAGACGCAAGTCCAGCAGATGAAGCGCTGGCTATCAGGGTCCGCAAGGCATTCAGCACAGACGGCCAGATCAAATACTGATGGGAAAAGATAGTCAAAGATAATGAAGCTCACACGTCGGATATCTAGTAGAAAGAGCTGCTTCTTGAATGTGTCGCATTCCACTCGCGGCGCGACACTATCTATTGCATTGCTTAGCTGATGAAACACCACTATAGAGTTATTACTTGAGCCCATGTTTATTTGCCAGGAACAGCATGCGCTCAAAGCAGCAGCCCACCAACTAGTTGGCACTCCGTGAAAGACCTCGCACGAAGTCTTCAGCCAATAAGTTGCGCCGATATTGCACATTTGAACAAGACATATCGCGTATTCTGTAATAGATGCAGCAAACGGAATGCACATTACGGTGGAATAGTTAGAAATATCACACGCATCATGTCATGGAATGGTATCAAAAACTGTTGTCAAACAGCATTTACCGTTTCGCATTGGTGCGAACACTAGGACAATGCGTTACCACGCTCTGAGCTGCTCTAATAAAACAGTGTCGAGATTATAAACCCGCTCATATAAAAATAGCGTTTCCACGTCCCCGGCAGTAAGCAAACATCACAGTCCCGTCTCCACACAGCCCTCTAGCCCCCTTACAAAAAGAAATGCACATGCAGGAAACGTATCCATCCTCCCGTCTAACAGCTACAGCGACCCAAAACATGCGTGGGCGTACAAAATAGTCATGATTAAAATATCACATTCCGTATCGCATTATCATTGTGACCTACATGGCCGTGACCCACCGATAAACAACAATGGATCCCCCAGGCGAGCGCTGTCATTCGCGTGCGCGGCTCCAGTCCCTAGTAAACAGCTCCGGTCCCCCAGCCCCGCTCCTCGACGGTAGGTAAAGCGACCCCTGGCGAGTGACTGACAATGCCAGGCGGCACTACTGAATCAATGACACCTTGTGTGGCAGCAACAGCTTACTGTGAGCGGTCCGCACGTGCCGCAGGAGGTCCACATCTGTGAAAAAGACCTCGAGTCACAAAAAAACTGCTACCGATACGGACCAATAGGACCATCAGCCAGTGTCCCAAAAATTGTTGATTTGGGTGGGAAACGACATCCAAATGAAAATCATTTTCCGCTCTCACCTCCAATTTTTAAGTGACCAATTTTCCACTCTCAATTCCACGAAGGAAGAGCAGGTTGCGTGGATGGTTGTTTTGCATCCTCTATCTGCCATAATAGTAGATAAATTAACGTTTTTTATCCTTTCCCACTCTTTTTGGGCTTTTTCTGACCAACAATTTTTCACTATCACCCATTTTTGGTCAGCAATTTTCCCCTCTGACACCCAAGCAAAAATATAATTTTGGGACACTGTCAGCTTAGACAAGCAAAGCTAAAGGAAATGGGTATCCCCAGTATCCGACACATTCTACATATAAATAGTTTATGTTGCTAAACTACGTTATGCATCAGGTGGAGTAAATAGGGTGAGCACGTCTGATTAAGTGCAAGGAACCATTAACCCGCGACCTGGTGGGGGGGGGGCTATTTTTTGCCCCCCCCCCCTCCAGACTTTTCGATATATCTCCAGAACCGCTGCGCTGATCGTCACCAAACTTTCAGTACCCTCCCGGACATCAATTTTACACATTGTGACCAAAAATTTTTTCCAATGGCTGATAGGTTGGCCGGAAATGACGTCAGAGTGACGTCATGTTCTGCCGTTTTCGACCCAAAAAGGGTTTCGCGGGAAGAGCTGTCAGGCCTATAGCTTTGCAAATACAGAAAAATGATAAGGACATAAAAGCTGTAGATTGGACAGGGCTACAAAACTGCTATCTCGGATTTTTGAAATTTTTGGATTTTGACCCCCAAAAATCAAAAAATAGATTTTTTGGATATAATTACCAAAAAATCCAAAAAGTTTTTTGAATTTCGCAAAAGCCGGAATATATATGATAGTCCTTACCGCCTTCCATCCACATACCAAATTTGAGATTGATACCTCTTTTTTTTTGGCGAAGTTATAGCGAAAAAACTGTTAAAAATTGATGACGTCAAATTTTCAAACTCAATTTTTAGCAATTCTAGACCCCGTAGCGCAAAACAAAGACCACCATTAGACTCCCCGTGACGAGCTGCATCGAATCAATACCCATTTTATGCAAAACTATCAACTTTAAAATTTGACCTTTTTTGGCCTGACCTTGACCTGACCTTGACCTGAACTTCACCAGAAAGTGACCTTAGCCGTACCTGATAGTCTTATAACCAACACCATTGAGTTTGAAATGAAAAATTGGCCATAAAACATGTATCACACAACCTTAGTAAAGTTGGGCTCATGTGACCTGACCTGTGACCAGGGGCGTCGTTTTGTATAGGCCTGGGAGTGCCCGAGCACTACCAATGTTCAGCTGAGCACTACCAATGTGTAGTTGAGCACTACCAACATTTTTCTTCACTTATTGAGAAAATTGCATTCAAACATATCATACAAATAAAATGAATGAGGTTCTTATGTATAAAATCAACATGATAGCAAGTAACTTCAATGGTAAGTGGTAACTATTGATGAAAATCTAGGTATATACTTACTCCACAAGTAGATTGAATTTGAATTGGTTGACCAATTCAATCTTCTTGTAGCGTACCTAAGTCCATAAATTTCCATCAATACCTAGGTATCATTTTCACTTTCCACATCATGTCATTACGTCAAGTAATTTCAAGTTATGTGGTACCTACCTACCTACCTACCTACCTACCAAGTTTCACAATAGTCAGGGGCGTCGTTTTGTATAGGCCTGGTAGGGTCCGAGCCTTACCAATGTTTATTTGGGCCCTACCAATGTTCGCTGAGCCCTACCAATCTTTTGTCACTTATCAGCTGATAAAAAATCAAAATAAACAGATAAGCAAATATCAAATAAGCACATATGCAAGTACATAAATAAGGTTCTAGCCACAGTAGGTGCATGTAGCTGACAATGAGGTTTCACGTGTCTAGGACTCCGGTCCTTAATGGATTTTAAGAGGCTCGAAAACGCAATTGGTTATAGAAGTCCATAACTGCCTCTGAGTCCCGCATACCACGCGACCGCCCCTAATAGACCCCGATCCGTCTCCACACCAGCCGCTGGAGGCCCTACACCGACTTCGGAAGGTGCCGCGGTGCTCCAGAATAGGCCATAGGTATATTGATTTGAGTGGGTGATGCAGCCTGATTCCCCAGGGTTCAACGCCAGGTCATTACCGCATCAGACCCCGAAAACTGAAGCTCGTAACTACGAGGGGCGTTCAAAAAGTTTCGGGCCGAACAATGAAGGAGTTGGAATTTTGGCCTGCAAGGCGGTGTGTTAAATGATGTGTTATTGGGATGTCCACTTACGAAAATTAAGTAAGTGGCCATTAATTAACCCGGCAGTTGCTGGGGTATTTCGCCACCCACCGTTTGCTGGGGGGGGGGGGCGTTAAACGCCCCCAGCCGATAACTCGAGAAGCAATAGGCGCAGCGAAACGCACGAGGCGGCAAACGAAAGAACGCGACGAGACGCTTCAGCTGATTACTTTAAAGTTGAATTTTGAGGTCACAGGTCGGGTCAAGGTCAGGTCAAACACCTGAAATCGGGCTTTCAGTAGCATGGACTTCAGGACTTCGCAATGGGCGCCTCTCGTCATAAACTCTGTCAAAACGGTGCACAATCCATCATATAAGGCCTACAAGAGTGTCAGCTCCATGTAGGGGTCAGTCAAGCATAGGTCAGGGCCAAGGTCAGGTCAACCGGGTAGGCACATATTCCCGAAAATCAAAACCGATATTCGCAGCCTGTGACACATGTTTTATGGGTAATTTGGGGCGTAGAACACGATGGTGACATTCATTTTATCATATGTGTACGCGTTTCGCTCAAAAAGCTCAATTTAAGAAATTCATGTATCATGGTCGTGAAGTAGTCACGAGAAATTGCCAAGATTCAGTTCAAGATTTTGGAAAATGCGGAACGATAATCAATAATCGAAGATAGGCATTTGATTGTTCATAGTATTGGCAGTCCTTAATGGCGTTTACAGAATGTCTGTATGTCTATTCTGTAATTTTATATGATTTTTTGAACATATGCCGTTTTTGGTCGAAAACTCAGAAATCATGACGTCACTAAAACCTCGATATCTCAAAAATTTTCTGACCGATTTTTTTTTTGAAACTTTGTCACAATAATTTTCAATCAATTCCCTACAGGTAACCGAAATTTGGCGCGCCTGCGGCGCGCCGTTTTTATGCTATGGCCCGGCGAAAAAAGTGGGGGCGTTTAACGCCCCCTCCCAGCAACTCGCGGGTGAAGTCTCTTCTGTGATTGATTCGGGCTTCTATTCGTAGCATAGTTCGCCATTTCGGATAGGATGGGCGACGCCCAGAAGAGAGCAGTGATTCGTTTCATAGTAGTTAGTGCAGAAAAGGCACCAAGCGTTAACCCTCGCCCTGGGCATTTTTCATGACACGGCCTGGCAGGGGGGAGGGGTCGATGCGACCCCCCCCCCCCCCGCTCGTCAACTTTCCAAACAGGGGCACACAATTGATGATGTGCGTCCATTCGATAAACATCGAGGAGAGGCTATAAGGAAGCTGACGTAAAGTGTGCACCTGATCCGCGACCTCGCACCTGCGTACATGGGCGGGATGACGAACAGTGAAGCGATGAGCTTCGAGTTGTTGTCGCATCCACTTTTTTCTCTCCGAACCTTGCACACTCTGGTTAGTGGTTGCCACCTCTTCCCCAACATAAGAAAATTAGCAGCGGCAACCTCGCTAACAGCAGGGAGACGAAATCAGCCGTCTTGGACGTGCAGGATGGGTCCAAAACCCACTTCGTTATGGAGGCCTTGAGGGCTCTCGCGAAGCGCTGCGCGAAATGTGTTTGTCTTAACGGTGTTTATTTGAATAAATGAACTTTTTGGTCTAATGAGTCGATGCTGTATCTCTCTGCTCCTTCATGGTCGGGCCCGTAGCTTTCTGAACGCCCCTCGTACTGTCATCCTTTTATTTTGGCAAGCAGGTCTTTCTAACTATCGTTGTGTTTCCAGTCCTCGTTAGTTGTCGAACCCTTCAATTGGCGTGGGTCTTCAAAACCGTTCCTGGCCCCGCAGCCGTCTTTTTTAGTCGGCTTGGGCCCTCAAAGCTGTTCCTGTCCCCTTTCAGCACAGCCGTCCTTTTAAGTCGATGTGGGCCTCTTTCAGAATGGCGTGCATTCCTCCGACACTATTGCCTATATAACTGCACGTTTTGTGCATGGCGTCCGGTGTGGACCCAGATTTCCAAAGTTTTTTTTTGTGTTTTTTTTTTTTAGATTTCGGTTAGTCTTGTCAATGACCAGGGCGAAAAATAAGTGGCCGAAATCCGATGAGAAAGGCAGATTTGGGGGTACCCTACCTTGTAAGCCCCGTCATATATGGCCAGCCGCCGCCTTTGGGCACTACCAATCATTTTCGGAAAACGACACCCCTGCCTGTAACCCTTGGTGACCTGACCTGTGACCTGACCTGGTATTGCCAGTGACCTCTAATAGCAACATATCTACTAGGCAACTGACGCCCTACCGCTGATTCTCTACAAAATGCGTTTTCCTCGGTGTTATAGCGCATTCCCTAAAACACCCGTGACCGGAGAAACATTTCATCTTTGACCTGACCTGTGACGTCATCGGTGACCCCGAGGTCAATGAAATTTGGTTTCCTGCGACAAATTTGGCAGGCCTTTCGAACGCCGTTTGAATTTTGCGGATCCGTCCAGTAGTTTCAGAGATACGAGGGGGGGGCAAAAAATAGCCCCCCCCCCCCACCAGGTCGCGTTATAAACAGACCCCACCAGGGCGCGGGTTAACTCGCATTACTATTATTAAAGGGACCCTCCCACCTTAACATTAGATTTGAGTTGAGATAGCCAAAATGGGGTCCCTGGCTCACAATTACCGGTTTCGGCACTCACAACATCGAGAAATGCCTTAAATCGGAAATATTGAATTTCAAAATTGCAGCATTTTGATTCAGAGGGGCTAATGCTTAGGAATACCCCTCTGAATGTGTGACGTCAGCGCAGATATCTAACGATTTTTAAATGTTTGACTAAAACGTTTTGTAGCACGCGGTGGTATATGCTATTTGCGCGCAACATCTGCCGCAAACGCCGCACTTCTAAAATAAAGTCGCTAGAAACAGCGGAGATCCCAAAAAAGTAAACAAAAGTAAAAGTCTAATATCTTGAAAACCGGTGAATATTTTTCGGTGAAATTTAGTAGATATTCGTTTTCGCTCTTTCTGAACCGAGCGACATCACTTTCATGCCAATTCATAAACTTTTTTGAAGGTGGGAGGGTCCCTTTAATGCTCAGGAAACAATGACGAACAGACCAAAAACAGGTAATTACGCTAAGCTGGCCAGTTCTGCGCGGCGCGACAGTCTATCGAGTTCCAGCACTCACAGGCGGTATTGAGTCGGCGGCCCTCGGCGGCCTTCAGCAGCGCCTCCTGGCTCGGGTAGTGCGTCAGCAGCACGGCGCTGTTGGCCGGACCGATCACCGAGCGGAAACAGCCGACCAGTGTGTGGTCGGGTGCGGCCTCTCCGACCTCGGCGGCCACCTGCAGCAGAGGCGGCGACCAGTCCGACTCGGGGCCGGTCAGAGAGAGCTGCAGCAGCTCCGTGACACCTGCAGGGGCCGGACAGTGTCAGAGGGGGGAAGGGGCGACCAGTCCGACTCGGGGCCGGTCAGAGAGAGCTGCAGCAGCTCCGTGACACCTGCAGGGGCCGGACAGTGTCAGAGGGGGGAAGGGGCGACCAGTCCGACTCGGGGCCGGTCAGAGAGAGCTGCAGCAGCTCCGTGACACCTGCAGGGGCCGGACAGTGTCAGAGGGGGGAAGGGGCGACCAGTTCGACTCGGGGCCGGTCAGAGAGAGCTGCAGCAGCTCAGTGACACCTGCACGAGGCCGGACCCATATCAGAGGGGGGGGGGGAGACAGTGGACACACAGCGGGGCGACACTACCGCATCGTCAATATGGTTAATGGTAGTTGTAACATCGCTTAGCTGCCGGTGCCGCGTAAATGCAATTGATCGGAATAAAACGTCTGAAGAGTTCTTTCGTGCTACCATTTTACGATCGGAAGGTCGAGATGACTACCAGTAAAAATTAATAGCGAGCTTCCGTCAAACGCATTGACTCGTGAAATTCGAATAAAAAATGAACTGCGTCGTAACTGACTGTTTATGCACCAGTTAAAATAAAAAAGTGGTAGCATCATCGAGAAATGTGTACTTAATTTGAACAATTACCTACTGTTGCATGCTTTCAGAAAACTCTCAAACTTCATGTCATCGCAACTCTACACTAAACTTCATCATGGGACATGGGACAATGGACATGGTTTCCTTCTCAACAACGTCACTAAGTAGACATTACGCACTGAATCCAGGTACGGCAAAGATAAAGATTACCCAGCAGTGTTCGCACCTGGTCCGGTGGGAGCAGTGACGGAGGTGGTCTCTAGCGGTCGCAGCAGGAGGTTCTCCTGGCCGAGGACGGCCGGGTTCAGCACGGGGCCCACGTACTCCTGCAGCCACGTCGTGTCCGAGGCCAACGCGGCTCGCACCGACGCGCGGTGGGACAGGCTCTCTGAGAAACACAGGTGGCAGGCACGTAAACGGAATGTGTAGCTATGAACTTGTGATAAATAAAGAAACCAGCAAATAACTCAGGCACAAACGACGCATTTGTAACGCAGAAGCGACAAATCGCACGTAGGTATGACGAACCAATACCAGTATGTCCAGTGTCTACTAACACGAAATAGGCTGAAATACGAGACACGTAATCGAAAAGAGCGCCCAGTACCGTTTGTATTACGGAATCACGAGCCGGCTCACCGTAGGGCCACAGGTGGACCACCTGATGAAGGCCGCCCAGCTCCGACGTCCAGTACCCCAGCACGGGCGACTGCTGCGTGCGCAGGTGAAACAGACGCTCCGTGTCGCGCAGAAACGCTGCCATCCGATCCAGATGGAGACTGTATGTGCGCAGCTCGTACAGAGCACAGGCGGCCGCCTTCTGAAAACCACCAGGCAGAATATTGAGAGTAGACAAATGTACACAGATAAGAGTACACAAGCACAGTGTCATTCATTACAAAGGCCCAAATGATATATCTACATAAAGTAAGAAGCCATGTCTGGCTTTATTGTCAGATACATCACAAAAGCCTATGGCTTTTTGGCATCAGCATGACAGTTAAGATCTACAATGTTCACACACAGATGTCAATTACAGATTGATTAGTGAATGGGAAAAGGGTCCAACTCCAAGAGGTTAGCTACAATCATGGATAGCTTTCATTACTAACTGATTCTACTGATCATGATCAGTGATCTTGTTTCAAGAGTCATGCAGGTGTAATCAATTCATTTCAGCATGCAAGACAAGTCACCAACTTTTCTTATTGAGAATTTGATGCAGTCCATTCAACTTACAAATGACATGGCTGAAGGTACCTGAAGATTTGTGACAGTATCAGTAAGTTGAAAGGTTTATCCTTCCTATTGGGGCTGAAAGTATAACCAAAGCTATTGATCAAGATTTTGAATTGTTTTCAAGCCTGGAAAAAGCATGAGTGTCAGCTGCAACATCCAACAATACAAAACTTTGACAATTCAATTACACACATTTCAACAATATTGAAGACACACTCACACACACCACTGGCACTCACTGATCTAAGTTTTCAGAAATTTCTAGCTTTTAGGGTGGATAATTAAAACAGGTGTCATACCACCAGCACACTGCTTCAAATATTATTGATCTTGATTCAGATGAATTCATTAATTTATTTAGAAATGTGAACTTGAAATCTACCTTCATTTTGCTCAACAGAGGCAAATGCTAAGACAGAGTAGGTAGGCCCTATGGACTGGGGCTATGAAGAAGCTGCCTTTGGACACTTGCTTTTGTCTTCCACCTTTTTGGGGAGAATGTAGCGCTACATTCTGCGTACGTTACACCCCCAACAGCATCTGATATCTGATACCTCCTCTGAGGATCTGCCTTACATGAAAAGTTTAGGATAAGAATATTATTTAAATCAAAATGCTTTTCTCAAGAATTGTCAAACTGAATTATTTAACTAAAACCCATGGTAAAATACTGTAGGTAAGTAAATACTGCATATAAAAATTAGCTATAATTTATTTAAAAATTAATACAACCAATAGGTACTCCGTACTGGGAAGTAATTGGTTATTGCTGCTTACGGTCCGCCACCACGAATGAAACTAAGGGAAATATATAAAACCACACATCGGAGCGACAAACGGCAAACGGCGTTTGATAGGTCGCTTAAAGATCTACAACTTATACAAAAACATTTTCAGGTCAGGTCAATATCGAGGTCACCAGAGGCAGGGCTGCGGAGTCGGAGTCGGAGTCGGAGTCGGTCAGAGTCGACAGTTGTGACCGGAGTCGGAGTCGGAGTCGGAGTCGATTTTAGAAACCCTAGCCGGAGTCGGAGTCGGAGTCATCGAAAATCTGTCGACTCCGCAGCCCTGCTAGGTCTGCGGAGTCGGAGTCGGGAGTTGGAGTCGGTCGGAGTCGACAATTCTGCCCGGAGTCGGAGTCGGAGTCGGAGCTGGTTTTTGAAAGCCGGAGTCGGAGTCGGAGTCGGAGTCGCCGAAAATCCATCGACTCCGCAGCCCTGAGTCCAGAGGTCATCAAGGATAAAATGTTTTGGAATTAAACAGGAGATTCGCGCTGTATGCTGTGTATAAATCAAATCAAGGATATCACAGGAATGAGTAGCAACATGATATGATTTCTCGATGATGACGTAATCAATTCACAAAGAAAAAGGAAGAATGACAATATCAAATGTTATCTGGAAATGTTTTGTTTTTGTTGAACCATACTAAGTTGATGGAATCTCTTGTTTCCACAATTCATTATGTAAGAAATGGTAAGATAAAAAATAGGAATACATTTTATTGCACACATGACGTCAATAATAAAGCACCGTCACTCAAATATTGGTACAGTCATTAGTCAAGCCTTGGTCAAGGCCGCCTATGAACTTTTAGTGACAGAAACGGCGCGGAAAAAGCGGAAAAAGGGTTCATAAGTTGTTTTTGCTTGGTTTTTTGCGTTTTTTGTGTGCCAATTTTTGTGCAAAGTTTGTTGTTTACTTAGGAGTGTCCGTGTTATATCATGCAATTCTGAATTATTTGCTCTTCCATTATCTTTTTTTCATTAATGATTGTGGCAGCGCATTGGAAAATATACTGACTTGCGCTAGGCAGTAGGCAAGTCAAGTGGTAACTAGTAACTACCAACTCCAACTGTAGGTAGGTAACTTGAACTCTTTTTTAAATAATACAATTGACCATTCTTCCTATTCATGTTCAGAACCTGAGGCCACAGACTGTGGTATTGACTGGATTAGCTGCCAGCATATGATGGCGCTTGCACTTTCTGTAATATTACCCAGAGCTTGTTATATATCAATTCAGTGCTAGATATAAAAAAAATCTATTAATTTCTCCATTAGTGCCATTTTCCGTCTGTATTTCCATGTACCACTGTGCTTATATTAAGTGTGGCAGGTAAAATTATGGGGCAGCTTTGAGAAAAAGAAAAAGCTGCAAAAATTTAATTTTGTATTAGCTAACTTTCCCTCGTTTTATTAATGTACCTAAGCTAAACTGGCCCATTGTGACATATAATGAGAGTAAAACTCAAACTGGCCTCTTGCAAATGTCAATTTGAATAAGGTTCCTAGGAATAAGGGTGTGCTGTCATGCTATACTGATACCACTGATTCCATGTTGTTTGTTGTGTCTCAGGTATGTCACATTAAGCCCAGTAGTAAAGTCATGTAACTATCAGCCCTAGGTATCTAAAGTTACTCCCCTTCCATAGTCTTTCATTCCTCAACAATACTGATGTGTCAAGGTGCAATTCTGCTGTAGGTAACTTTGGATGTACCTACTGAAAGTTTTCTGTTTATTGATCCACTGGCATCAATTCATAGCCAAGCAATCAGGAAACAGCTAAGCTCACACTAGGGCATCTAACCCTGGCCCTGTTCAAGTGTCTGCGGCCGCCGCGGCTCCCGCGGCCAAAAAGGCGGAGCTTAGCTGGCGGCCAATCAGGCGAGAGCAGCATTCTGGGTAATGCGTAGCTCTTCCTGCGGCTCCCGCGGTCGCTCGGGAGCGACCGCAGGGAAACTTCGACATGAACTGCGCGCGTGAGACAAACATTGCGGATTTCGCTCTTTGTTTCGGTTGATTTTATTATGTTGTTAAGGAATACTTGCTTCAAAAAGGTACTAATTGAAGTAATAAAGCCATTATAAAGCCATTACACACAAAATTTTGATCAGCATCTCCTTTCAAAATAACCGTGCCATTCTCGTCGCCGGCCGCAGCGGCCGCAGCCGCGAGGGTGTTCAACCTAACCGATATTAGGCTCCGCCTCCCGGCCGCGGGAGCCGCGGCGGCCGCAGAGCACTTGAACAGGGCTCCTGTAAGCTATAGCCAATGAGCTGTACCCATAGACTAATGAATTATTCATGATAGATGTTCAAAGTGCCAAATGCTAATCAGCTTTTTCAAAGATACAGATACAGATAGTTTATTCGGATCCTCCATAAGATGGATTTTCTGGTACCCACGTCAGTTACATAATATGCAAAAGTACACCACAATGCTGCAATAAAACAGTTAAAATAGATCATACCTATTACATCATAAAATGTCGACTCCGTACGCTACCAATGTATCACATGAAACTGAGTCACATGTGGCTATTCCAAGTGCTAGCTGCACGGTAGAAAAAGCCACGTCGGGCAAACGCTGTCCGGACCTTGGGCAGGTGAAGCTGACCACCCGCCGTCGCCCGGGTGCACCGGGCCGACACATCAGCTTAAGCTTAAAGCTTAAGCTTCAAGCTTAAGCACTTAATGGTATGCTACTTGGAAATGTCTTGAATGTATGTGTCTATGTATGTTTAAATGCTAGCAGGATTTTTTTTCAACCCCATCCTTAAATTGCTGGATAGGCTTTCACATTGTTTTTTTTTTTTTTTTTAACCAAAAGACTCACTAAAATATGCAAATCCTATCATCAGTCAATCATTATTCTATTCAATTTCAGTGTACCTGTATATTGTATAATTGATTGCCATTTTATACAATCATCCCTTTACTCCTGAGCATTTTTGTTAACTGATTGCAACACATTATTCCCTCATTTCGTTTGGTAGATGACTATTCAAATATTGGTTCTTGATCGGCCGTAAGTGTGAGGTCGCCGTCTGACGTCTGGTCCGCTGCGCGTGGCCAGGTGGTCTGTCGTGTGCGACCCACGCCGGCGCCGCTCCCGGCACCTGAAGAGGCATGCTGATTCAGACGGGCGCCAGTCCGCCGTGCAGTCCGGTCATGGCCGGCAAGCCGCCGCCGCCGCCGGAGCGCGTCAAATGCGTGCTGGTCGGAGACGGCGCCGTGGGAAAAACGTCCATGGTGGTCAGCTACGCCACCAACGGCTACCCGAGCGACTACCAGCCAACGACCTATGACGACTACAACGGTGAGTACCCGAGCGACTACCAGCCAACGACCTATGACGACTACAACGGTGAGTACCCGAGCGACTACCAGTCCACTGTCCATGACTAGTTCCCGAGCGACTACCAGCCAACGACGTACGACTACCACAACGGTGAGTACCCGAGCGACTACCGGCCATTATCACGACTAGTACCCGAGCGATTACCAGCCAACGACCTATGACGACTACAACGGTGAGTACCCGAGCGACTACCAGCCTACCACCTATGGCGACTACAATGGTGAGTACCCTAGCGACAACCCTCCAACGACGTAAGGCGACTACAACGGTGAGTACTTAATACCCGAGCAACTACCAGCCAATGGCCTATGAAGTATGACGACTATAATGGTGAGGACTGAGCACCCGAGCGTCTACGTACCCGAGCGACTACCAGCCAACGAACTATGACGGCTATAACGATGAGAAGTACTGAGGACCTGAGCGACTACCAGCCGACGACGCTTGACGACTACAACGGTGAGTACCCAAGCGACTACCAGCCCTTACCACGACTAGTTTGCTTATATTATATGTATCGTCACCCTTGCAGCTGCAACTTTAGCTATTGACATCTTCTTTTCGATCACTCCGCATTAAACAATCGCCAGTCAAAGTCAACCGTTGAGATTGGTAAAACCCTACATTACTTTAGCGGTGGGCTGTATGTCTATTACACTGAGCAGTGCGGATGCTGTGCTCCCATCGCTGAGGGCCGAAAGTTTAGGTGCGTATGTGTGGAGTGGAGGCCCCCCAACTGACATAGGTATCCATCGTCTGGCCCCCACGTGCCCTTAGAGGAGTCAAGGATGTCGCATCGTTACTTTGCTATTACTGGGAAAGGGGATATTCTCCAGGAATACTACTTAGCTATAATGTGTGCTTGTCAGTGTCCCAAAATTATATTTTTGCTTGGGTGTCAGAGGGGAAAATTGCTGACCAAAAATGGGTGATAGTGAAAAATTGTTGGTCAGAAAAAGCCCAAAAAGAGTGGGAAAGGATAAAAAACGTTAATTTATCTACTATTATGGCAGATAGAGGATGCAAAACAACCATCCACGCAACCTGCTCTTCCTTCGTGGAATTGAGAGTGGAAAATTGGTCACTTAAAAATTGGAGGTGAGAGCGGAAAATGATTTTCATTTGGATGTCGTTTCCCACCCAAATCAACAATTTTTGGGACACTGGTGCTTGTGCGTGAGATGCCACAGATCTTTATTTTCCAACAGTACAAGTTTGTGAGCTAGACTGTTCTGTGCCTATTGAAAGGTCGAATCTTCGTGTGCTACTGTGAATGAGTTCTTATCATGTTCGGCGTGCTTGAGTTGTGATTCATTGAACCATGACCCATTTATCATTGCATGTTTGTTCGGGATGGGCAGAGTGGGTTGATTCCATTGGTTATGTACCTTATTCAAGCATAGCCAGTAGGAATGTCAGTTATGTGTGGCGAATAAGATGCTGGAGCATGCGCTGGGAGCCGGGAGGGCGATGTAAATACGCTATGGGCTGTTTATATTTATATGGAATTCGCCAATGAGAAGTAAGAGAGGGGTGATGACTGATGAGGCGAACGCACGACAAAGTGAAGCCATTTATCCTGGATAAATATGACGACATTTCAGCGAAAGAGGCCTCAAATGTCTTTTCCGCGACGATGTTGCTCTCATCAGAGTGGGGCGCCGACTTTCCCGGAATCGTTAAAATCGGAAACAAATTGATTTTTAATGGCGTCAGCTGGCGTGATCTTTAATCCTTGCCGGACCTATTGGTTTTCTGCATGCGCGCGGCCGACCAGGGGGGGGGGGGGTGGAGCTGTGTGTTACGACGCTCCTCGCCGTTTCGCCCCTAATGGAGCTAGAGTATTGCGGAAAAATGAGCGTGTGCGCCGTTACGAGACGCAGAGACTGGTACCCGATTTTAAGGTTTCAGGTCCAGGGCTGCGTAGTCGATGGATTTTAGGGTGACTCCGACCATGACTCCGGCTTCAAAAATGGACTCCGACTCCAACTTAGGCTCCGACTCCGGACGGTTCTATTAAAATCCATATCGTGATATTGAAGTTCATAATGGAGGTGTTTTAATCTTGCTTGAAACGATCCCTTGCGCGTTCCATTCCATTCCATTCCAGAGTGTTTATTGAGCATCAACAACATAGTAAAACGATCGAAAAATGAACATGAGCAACAAAGATTAAGTAAAATAATAGAAGAGTGGTGCAAAGCACATTGTGCACATTGTGCGTTCCAATGCTTTGCGTTTCTAATATGCATTTAAAATAGCATGCAGGATTAAAAAGCAGGTTCTGAGGGAATTCACCGTCTGTCTTCTGCTTCTTTCTGAAAACGTTCGTCCAAAACAGCAAAATGGCCTTTTTTGACAAAATCTTATTTCGAACGCAGTATCGTCAATCAAACAGGTGCAGTGCATGACGTTGAGCCATGCAGCGTTAACTCCGGACTCGTCGACTCGTTGGTAAGAATTTGGCGACTCCGACTCCGACTCCGCAGCCCTGCCCACTGCTCAGTGCTCAGGTGAACCAGCGACCTGAGTTCAGGTCAAGTGGCCCAAGGCACGGGATCGGTTTTTGATAACTTCGCAAAAAACGGTTGCAGCGCCGCGATGTTGGCACCATCGTGTTCGCCTCGCTCAGGCACGTTGAATGGTATATTTTTTGCTCGGGTGGGGTCAACTTGAGGTGTTGACCTCGGATCAAGGTCAGATCGAAGCCCCAGGTCACGTAGCTGGTCGAAGCAGGTCATATCGCATATCACTCGATTTGGCAGGTCTTTCCGATTCCATCGGTGGCTTTCTCGACTCGCTAGCTCAATTTAATCGGGAGTTATTGACGAAAAACTCTTATGACCCTAGGCCCAGTGACGTCATAAATGACGCCACGCAAGGTCAGCAATGCAAAAGCAAAGCATTGAACATTGCAAGAAATGAATAAAATCACTATTCCGTGTCCTTGAGATAGTTTGATATCATTCCCGGCGCCAAAATAGCAGTTTTCATTTTTTCCTCATTGACTTATAATGGGGAGGTCCTCTGACCGACCTGACCTCATGTGATCTTTAGAAAAACTCTGAGATATACAATTTGTGAGAACTCTGGAGGATGCTAAGCCCTGTAAGTTTCATCTCCCTGTGAAAGTTCCTCTGGCACTGAGGGCGTTGCGAAGCTGTGACATCTGATGACTGCAGAGGTTCACTTATGACGTCACAGGTCTGTGACCTGACCTGACCTGACCTGAAAATGCGGTTGGTGTCACAAGGTCCGGCTTGAATCAAAGGTCAGGCATGCTAAGTTTCAGCTCTCTATCCCGGCGTGTTCGGAGCTATCGCGAAAAAAAAAACTGTGGGGGGACAGCGCCCCCGGCCTCCCCTCGGCTGGCGAGGGTTAAACCTTTAAAGTGGCTGGTCGTTAAAAGATTTTGACGACCTTTCGAACAACGCTTACCACAGGTCGTTACGTGGCCCAGGTGCCGACTTAGACGGGAGAAATGAGTCCCCCCCCCCCCCTGCTTTAGGTGTGTGGTGTGGACATTCACAACATAACTACCAGCGGAAAGCGGCTTCATGAAAAAAATCCCCAAAATTCATATTGCGCTTGCCAGACAGATGGAATGCTGATGGGCCGGCAATATGGGGTTCCCCAGAATGTTTCGTGCTCGCGCGACCTACGTTCGATCATCCTATCTGCTGACTATAGGTCGCCGATAATTCTGCAGACCAGACTAAGGTTCCTATGATAGCCCATGCTTCGTCTGGCGTGTTGGTGCCTGTTCTGCTTGCTGTAATATTTTTTCTGCTAGTGTGAGCTTTGAGTCATTGATTACACTCTGCTCGGTGGAAAGTGCGAACTCTTTTATCAGCTTTACAGGCCATGTAGTGAAGCAGTCGCAAGGCGGCTCGAAAGCAAATACGCTTCAGCGCGAGCAAAGGCCGTCCAGAAGATTCGCGCGAGCGAAGTCAATCCTGATGTGGCCTGGTACAGCTAAGATATTACATTAAAGTGTTATCAGTTTGTATGTAAAATGATAAATAAATCTGGCAACAAACTAGATTCACTTACGTAAGCGACATGCAATAATGACACGACATATATCGCATTCGCTGTATGATTCAATACAGTCACGTCGGCACTGTGTGTGTTTGCACTCAGGATAGCTGTGAAGTGTAATTGATTACGGTTACCTACTGGTCTCACTATTGGTTTGACCCCATGGCCCATACTCATTAGTATCGCCCCAAATTGTTATCGCCCCGTGTTGCTGTGGCCCGCGGTAGCCTGTGTGTACCGGTGACTGTTCTATGTGATGGAAGCAATGTGATGGAGTTTATGTGATGGAGCCCATGTGTAATCTAATTCTGCTCTGCCCGCAGTGGATGTGGTGGTGAACGGAAGGCCCGTCAAACTGCAGCTTTGTGATACGGCCGGTCAGGTGAGCACTGAACACTGCCTGGGGCACCATTCACAAGGCGATGGAATGGTAAAGCGTAAAGGCAGCACCATTTCACGGGACTGGTAGTGGGTGGACACTGGACAGTCGTGAAATAGGAATGGTTTGTTAAGGGGGTTAAATTAGATTGGTGTAAAACCGTAGCACTTGTTGGGTAGGTTAGTTCTTCACGGGTCTGAAACAAACGCAACGATATTGAGGCATTAGAAGGTGCTCTACGTAACGTGATATGATCGGCATGGCTAAAGTAAGTCGTATATACTGAGTGGAGGGCTCGCCGTGAGCTGATGTCTAACGGTATAACCGGAGAAAACGATAGCCACTGCAACTGGTCAGACCGCGGCCGTGCCATGGTCAGTGTAGTGTAGCCCGTTTCGCCACAGCCACCGATAGTAGCTCTATATCGGTAGGTCTATATCATCTATCTGGCCACCGCCACCGATAGCTACCGGACCGCCCGACCGGTGACTCAAGGCACGGGTTATCGCGCGCGGTCGGACGGGGTCCATCGGTCGCCTCGCGGGGAGGGTCGCCCCATCGATCGATCGTACTGACCCGGAGGATGTGTCATCGGCCGGCGCCGTCTGCCGTCCGACAGACAGCGCGTGGGGGGGGGGGGGACTTTTGTCGCTGGCACGTGTTTCTATCTACATTGGAGATCGTACCCCTCATGCCATGGGATTAGTAGGTACTGTCGCGCCGTCCCACACATGCAGCTGTTACCAGGGAGCTGTGAGCTGGGAATTTCGGATGCTCTTACATAGGCGCCAGCGTGGGAGGTGCGCAAGTGGTCAATTCCTCCCCCCCCCCGAATAGCCTCTTGCCGCTCCCACGCATCTTCTCGTAGTCATGACGATGCCTACATACTTCTGAAGTTGCATTAGTCATGTCATGGCGAGGTGAAATATAATTCAGAACAGGGACATTTAGTCATTGTTAGTTGCATTCTAGCAAGTTTCGATCAAACACGCTCCTGTTCACGCCCATGACACCGCGCCCTGCCAGCTATCCGGTGTGACCCTCACCGTGTGTCCGCTCCCCAGGAGGACTTTGACTGGCTGCGGCGGGTCTGGTACTCGGACACAGACGTCTTCGTGGCCTGCTTCAGCGTGGTGTCGCCGAGCTCGTTCCAGAACGTGCCGCAGAAATGGGTGCGCGAGATCCGCGAGTATCACCCGCAGGCGGCCATCGTGCTGGTCGGAACACAGTCCGATCTGCGCTCCAACGTCAAGGTACAGCCAGATGTCCCCATCCCTAACCGCAGGAGATTGAAGGCAGGGGTAGGCAGTTGTGGTGTGGCAGACTTGTCAAAAGGGCAGGTGTGGTGTTTGCGGGTTTTGGCGGGTGTTGTTTCTCCAAGTCGATATCTGGCTTCATGGAGTCATGGCTTGGTTAATGTTCATCCCTGGGGCTATTGGTTGGCTCAGGCGATGTTCACACTCGTACTGAGCTCTGCTGGCTATAATCTGCTCCCCTTATTGCCGCTGGCTTCCATGTGGACGCTTCAGTGGCGCGTGTGACCTATGCCCTATGAGTGTCGACGATGTGCGACCTTCCAGCCGTCTTGGCGTACCTAGTCACTAACGCTGACCTCGTGTAGCCCCGAGTTACATTCATCTGTCGCCGTCGTGACCGTGTCCCACCAGGTGACGCTGTGACCGTGTCTCACAGTGACACTGTGACTGTGTCATCACAGGTGCTAATAGAACTGGACAAGTACCGAGAGGTACCGGTCACGGAGGCAGACGCCCGGCGGCTGGCACACAACATTGGCGCCGACACCTACATCGAGTGCTCGGCGCTGACGCAGAAAAACATAAAGGAAGTGTTCGACCAGTGCATTCTCAGCGGGCTGGAGGCGCGGCGCCGCCCTCCGCCGCCGCCGCCCGGCCACAAGAAGCGGCGCGGCTGGCGGCGCTGGCTGTGCATGTGACTGTGACTGCGAGTGTCTGTGAAGGGACGCAGGCGGAGCGCCCCGCCGCCCAGGGACGGTCGCCGACCGGCGGTGGGAGAAGCGCCGCAAAAGTGCCGCCGCATTTTCCACATACTGTTGTCGTCTATGTTTTACACCGTGTATAATGATAATTTTTATGTCTTTATCGCTGTGCCGCGTCGTTGAGAGCCGCTCGTTAATATTATGTTATATACTTAGTGCCTCGGAGTTGTGCCGCTGCCCTGGGCCTGGCGTCGAATACTCAGCGCTGCGCCGTGAGTAGTGCTGCGGGCGCCGGTGGCTGCAGCTCGGCAGTGTACTGCGGGGGGCTGTGCGCAGCTGGGGAGGGGCGGGGGACGTGTGGTCGCAGCTGGGGAGGGGCGGGGGACGTGTGGTCGGTGGAGGTCTGAGGGAGACAGAGGGCAGCTGCAGCCGGGGGCGGCGCGTTGTTGATGGTTGTTACTGGTGGCGGACCGGCGGGTCCTGTACCGGCCCTATTGGGCGCGGCGGGTGAAGAGACCGGCGGCTTTCAGTGTGTGCCCGGGCCGGGTCGGCGGCCCCTGTGATGAGCGCTCGGCGCCCGGGAAACGGGCGGCCCCACGTGCCACTCAACGTGCCTGAATACAAAACGTTCCAGCTTTGATCTGCGTTCGTGGTCCAATGTCCAATGCCCAGAGCGCTGGTTTGGTGCCTTGCCCCGTACCGCCTATCCACTTCTGGTGAACAGAATGCGGGCTACGAGATTCAGCGTTTGGTTCAGCTCTGCTAGGTTTGGTTCTAGCCGCGAAGACCGTGCAGCTAATGTGTACTCACAGCCGGTTATATATTGTCACATAACAACGACAGCAGTCCGTAACAAACCAGTTCCCGTGCGTCGGTCCGATCACGTTTCCCTTCACGCACCAAACCCGTCCAACAGAGATTCAAAGTCGCCCTGCAGTGACGGGGGACCGCACGTAATCCGCACACATCAACAAACACAGCACACGACATCCACACGCGCATGGATACATGCAGTATGCATACGGCCAGTACTTAGTACTCCCACTGAAGCGTTGAGGGGTATTAACGAATACTTCACACTGCATAGGGAACGCTGAAGACTGGACAGCAAACAGTCAGTTTAGGAAGCTGGGAATCCGAGAGGCAGATAAGGTAGGAGAACGGTACATGTCGCTACAACTCTAGCGGGCGGGTAGGTCGAGGCGGATAGTGAAGGTAGGTAGGCCGCCTACAGAGCGGCGGTTAGACACAACAGGTCCGCACTCGCAGTCTTCGCTTAAATGGCTGTCTCGTGGTCTCAGCGGTCTCAGTGCTCTGGACTGTCAGACCTGACTCCTCAGTCGTGGACGGCTTCTCACGGAGGGGCCGTCCTCAGAAGGCCACATAGGACGATCACTGAGAACAGAGAGAACTCACGGCCTCTCGGTCCTCAGTCCCTGCAGGTTCACGGCCTCTGTCAGTCAGGCTCCCGGTCTCAGTCCTCGTCCGAGAGCACCGAATCTAACCAGTCGTCCTGCAGCAGAGCCGGCGCCGGGGCCGGTTTTTTTACGCTCTCCGTCGCCGGCTCCGGCGCGACGTCTCCACCCGGCCGGTCGGAGAGCGGCGCTGTCTTCTCGGCAGGTGGCGTTGCCTCTGCCGGGGGTTCAGACGCCTCCACAGGGGGCGCAGCCGGCTCCGCTGCGGACGCCACGGCCAGCGACGCCAGCGCCTCGACAGGGGGCGCCATCTCCGTAACAGCTGTGCCTGGAATGGAACGAGGTTAGGGTGAGGCAGGCGAGACGCGGTGTGATCATTTGGTGGAGGAGTAAAACACACTACCTATTTCAAACCAATGTGACTTGGGTTCAGCATTCACGTCAGCTCAAGTCCATTTATAGCTTGCTTTTCACCAAAGTGCATTGTACTCAACACCAAGGACAAAACGTTCCAGACAAGGGATTCAAATGTCGTTTTAAAAAAAAACTGACGCTGACTGGTGGTGATTAACCGCGTAGGACCTCGTAATGAGTACCAGCCATCGAAGCACACAGCCACTTTAAATAAAGGGCCCAACACAACCACTGTACCTATACCCCTTCCTTGGCCCCGGAGCCGCCCGGTCGGCCAGCACACAAAACCTACCGTTGACGGTCGATGGCCGCTCCTCCGCCGCCGCCGTCGGCCGCTCGGTGGCGGGCCTCAGTTCCCCGGCAGGGGTGGCGGCGCGCTCAGCTGGGCGCGCGGCGGCCGCACTTGAGCGACACGTGTCGGCATCGAGGGTGAACTGGTGGAGTTCTTCCTCCTGCGAACAGAGGTAAGGCAGAGGTCAGCGGACGGAGGACTTCGTACATCGGTCAGTGGACAAGCTGCACGATATCTCCCACAGATTTAATGGTACTAAGGTCAGGACTGACGGCCTTATTGAACTAAAAAGTAGCTTAGAAAGACATTGCAACTCAAAATTTAAATAGGTATTGCTATAATCAAATGATGGAAAAGTGACACATCATAAATATGCAGACACCTGTTAATCACCGACAAATGAGTTCCAATGATTAAAAAGCACCAGCAGCCCACCCTACGAGGTCACTCTGACTCTCGGCCGCCCGGCGGTCCTCACCGTGAAGTGGCGCTCGTCCACTCCGAGTCGCCGCGGCAGAGACAGGCAGCTGAGCGCCGCTGCCGGCCGGTACGCCTCCAGTGTCAGCAGGCTGCTGCGGGCGCCGCCGCCAGCGCCCGACTCCAGCCACGAGCGCTCGCTGCGCAGCTGAAAATGGCCGGCGTCCCCGGCTGTCGACAGGTGCACGGTAGGGTCACTGTCACACCGCACGGTCAAGGGGGCGTTAGCGCCGCCCCTCACACTTCACTGGACGCATAATACAAAAACTGCATCGGTCATTCAGTTACAGCATTCAACCTTCAGAAAAGTATAACAGCAGGACTCTGATTATCCAAAAGTTAAACAAAGGAACCCAAGATAGGACTGGCTTAGTGTTAAAAATCCACTGGCGACAGGACAGGACCATCTACATTCTACACCCCAGTAACCATACAATAAGCAGGACAATTAAAAGCCCGCCACTGGCCACACCGCAGTACCGTCATCGCGCCAGTTGCACTCACTGGAGGCGGCCAGCAGCTCCTCGAAGGTATCGCCGCGCAGAAAATCCTCGTCGGGTAGCGGCGTCGTCTCTGCGTCCGGCTCCTCTTCGTAGCGGTGCCAGTTGCTGTGGATCTCGCGGCGCCGGTAGCGCGCGGTGTCCGACGGCGGCGGCGCGGCCGGCTCCAGCACGCGCGGCCCCTGACTGTCCGCGGACGGCAGCGGCGCAGCCGCCGGGGTCTGCGGCGCTACGGAGGGAGTCGGCTGTGCCACCGCAGGGGTCTTCTGGACGTGCCCTGAAGGCTTCTGAGGCCCCACAGGCTTTGGCGGTGCAGTTTTGGGTCCATTCCTCCTCTCATCGCGTCGTCTATTGCCTTTTTTATCAGGACGCATTGGATTTCTATGAGGAGCCTAGATAAGGAGTAACCTCTATCTATTTATTGAGTATGCTGATTGCTGCGCTGAACTGGAGAACCTGTAGATTGGAATAGTCAATTCATTCATAGACTGCTGAAATAGCATGACTAAAAGCAGCAAGTACTGTGCATACTCAATGAAAGATATCACCTTTACATTTTCAATCATTTTTAACCGCAACCAGAGTTTGCTTGTACTTTGTAGCATGTAAAGGGTTAGTGGTAAGCCATAAGATGAATAATTACAAACTTTACAATAAAGTGTCTTGATTATGGCACTGCAAATGTGTCCATAAATCATAAATCCACATGTTCAAGCCCCGACAATTTTAGGAACAATATGAATTGGAATAACATTATCAAATCAGTATAGGTATTTATAGATTAAGTATGTAGATAGATACCTAACAAGTCCAGTATGAATAGACTCTGGCTGGTGACCTTGTAGCATCTCACATTTAAACATTAATTATTTTTGAATGAAGCTTGTATATCTGCTGCGTACAAATTACACTTATCACACGACACAGCACTGAGCACCTTGAGCATAATTTTTAGAACACAAGCTAAAAATTATTTTTCCTAGCTTACAGCAACAAAGGAAACTATCAAGGTAAACAAGAGGTTGAAATGCTGGGAGCCTTAGCTGGGTCCAATTTAAACTTCTGAATCAACAACTGTTGGATAGGTACCCACTACCCAACGACATTGATTTGATGTCAATGATATAATCGAACCCAGCAGGGCAGCCACAGCATGTATAGCTATGGAAAATCAAGATCAAAACAAAATTGGAATAAAATGCTCTAATAGAATCCTAGGACATACAAAAAAACTGATTATCAATTAATTGATTTATTAAATACGTATCCACTAATAAAACACACTTCTTCGTTGATGGTTCTTCAGAGCAACTTCAGAGCAAGGCCATATATAGTCTTCAGAGTACCTACCTTGCTTGGTGGCTGGTGCTGGTGCCTGTGGTGCCTCTGCCTTGCAATTGCTTGCAAGCAATAATCTTGCAATATCGCCAACGGGGGGGCCTAAATGCAATTGTCTCAGACGCGTCAGACTTGTAAGCCTGGGCCAAGGGACAGCACCACTATTTAATCAATCACAACAGCACTATGGTTTGCCTATGCAAAATTATTTCGGTTTGGGCCTAAATTGCTGACCATGGAGAATCAAAATGAAATATTTCCATTAAATGCATGTTCCTTGCAAACTTCGCGATGCATGATAATTGCAGCTTGAAGTGCCCACCCTATGAAGATGTCAACTTATCAGGGTCCTAGACATTAGTGAAGAGAGGTTGGGGCACCGGGCACGGAAGAGAGAACTGTGTCCGGCAGGGTTGTGCTTGACTTATGAGTCGAGTCAGAAATTTGACTCAACTCTGACTCAAATGAGTCAGATTTGAGTCGAGTCGGATAAAATGTTGAGCTGTTGAGTTGTTCAGGCGTTGAGTTGAGTCAGAGTTGAGTCAGTAAAATAACTTTTGACATTGAGTTGAGTCAAACATTTAGGAACATGAGTCAGCTGACTCAACTTTCTAGAAACAAGCTTTTCATTTCCCTCCCCCCCGCTTAACAACTTCGCCCTGGCTCTGCTGCCGGATTTTTTCCACCCCCGCCCCCGCTCAGCAACTTTTTTATCTGAGTCAATTTTGAGTCAACTCACTTGACTCAGCAAAAAATTTGAGTCAAGTTTGAGTCGACTCATATTTTCATTGAGCCGCTTGAGTCATGAGTCGAGTCAAGACTCAAGGGAAAAATCAGCTCCTTGTTTGAGTCAGAGTTGAGTCAGGGCTTTCTGAAGTTGAATGATGAGTCGAGTCGGCAATTTTTTTTAGTCGAGCACAACCCTGGTGTCCGGGGCTGTGAAGTTGTCGACCAGCCTGAATCAAGCTAATGGATAAGGAAACTCATCTCACGTCGTATAAAGCTTTCACTAGGTCGGCCATATCTGGTCACGACCGTTATCGAGGTCAAACCGTGTAACCGTGTGATATAACTATTCTATTTTTTTACACCTATTACCTACCTACTGCTTATTCAATATTGGTCACTTAAAGTTGATATCGTATTTACATGCCTACATCAGAGGTTGTTGCACATAATGTTCATTAGATCGATCCACCCCATGGTGACCTTGGTACTGTGAAGCCTTTAGTTGTGTATACCTACACTAACTGAATGTAACCCACATGACCCTGCCTAACCTGCCCGACACTGCCATGACCGCATTTACAGGCGGCTTTATAGTATGCATATCTTCATTATGCTCGTCATCTGTCTGATGCTGGGATCCGGTGATGCACATGCCTCCTCAGGTAAGAAATCACAACGCAATCGGTACGACAATAGCTGTTTTCGCGACGGGATATCTGCTGAATGCATATAATTTGACCAAATCTGCACCAAATCTGCACTTAATCTGCATCAAGTGACAAGTGTGTACCACATGGCCGTAGTGAAAACTGCTTATAATCTTTCAGATGTGCCGCGAATGAAAATGTAGTTAGTGAGTAAAAATGTAGTTCGATTCATTTCGCGGCAAGTTATTTGGTGGTTTAGGTGACTAAATGATGTAGGCATGAAAAACATGAGTATTTACTCAGGCATTCCAGAGCGCGCAGAATCCCAGAATCTTCTTATATGTTCAAGATCAACGGGACCGGGTTATTCGCACTGCACTTATAACTTATAACGCCTACTCTCCTCGTAGACGGATTCATATTCGATGTCAGAGGAAGAAATCAATTCGGCAGCAATGCGAATTTTAACGAGGCAGCGCTGGAGAAGGCTCGACGGTTATTGCGGAACCGCACTCTCACCGTGGCTACGATACAGGTGAGATGTTATTGGTAAGAAACGGACACTTATCGTGGCGTCAATACAGGTGAGATGTTATTGGCGAGAAACGGACTATTACCGTGGCTACGGTACAGGTGAGATGTTACTTTATTGGTGAGAAACGGACTCTCACGGTGACATACGACACAGGTGAGCTGTTACCCTGTCATTTGGTGAGAAACGGATCATTACTGTATAGTGTATGATATGACTAACGATACGATAACGTACCCCACCGTACGATACAGGAGAGACGTTAAGGTTAACCGGTCATTGGGGACTGAGACGGACTCCGAAGCGGTTACGTTATACCTACAGGCTACAGGTGACATGGTAGGCGCGACCGGTTACAAATGAGGAATGAGGCTTCGGGGTGTTGAAACGTCTTCTAGACATTTATTGAAAATGATGGCTTGGCGAACGACTTCAATTGATAAAAACTGTCAAAATTGAAACAAATTAGCCAACGATTGTTCGTTTCCTAAAGCGATGACTGATCACTGAGCATGAAACAATGCCATGGCGGTGCTGACGAACATTCTTTGATCATTCAGGGCTTATAAACACAAATGTATGAATTCTCAATTCCATTGCACAGAGTTATTCGCGATCGTTAGAACGGACTAAAAGAATCGGAGAAAAGCGGTCATTTTGTACGAAACACACGCAGTTGCTTTACAGTATGGGCGAGAGGAGTACCTATAGTCGGGCTGGCAAGAGTTGAGGACTGAAACCAAGACAAGAGCAATGCACAAAATAATTGAATGTTAAAAAGCAATTTAACTCTTGAGTGAACCTAACAAAAACTGTCGAGTGAATCAGAGCTCGCAATGTTCTAGGTACGCGCGCTGGCAGGCTTTTCCGAGGTCAGCCACTTTGCCAAGCATACTATCCTACATAAGCTGCATCTGAAACCGAACGTCACGCGGATGAAAACGAACGTCACGGATGAAAACGAACGTCACGGATGAAAACGAACATCACGGATGGCTGGTGTGCAGCTGCACTGTGCACTGTGTACTGTGCAGTTATTAGTTACCTATAAAGCAAAGCAATGACCGTTTTCCTTGTTTCAGCGGCCCCCAATGACGATCTTACAGCTCAACAAGGAAGGAGATATCGTCGGATATAAAGGATTCTGCTTTGAGATGCTGAAAACGCTCATGCAGAAATATGACTTCAAGTAAGTTTGCGTCAGTGAATGGACTGATATGTACCTACATAAACGTTCAAATTTGTGACTTTGCTCGATGTTCGAATCGTTAATAAGGTGTAATATTTGTGTAAAATATTTCAAAAAAGCTCTCATAGGTCAAAACCTTCTTTGGCTTCATTTGGACCATTATTTATATTGTCTTTCCAAAGAGTATTTTCCATACATCGGTCTAGCCGAGATGCAGCACGTAAGTACGGTGCATGTACACATAGGCTCGGCTCGGCTTAAAAAAGATTAACAACAAAAATAGATATCTAATTAAAACAACATTGACGTGAGCATAAGCCGGCAATCACCGGCAAGACATGCATTTTTTATAACTAAGTCGATTTTATCGCGTCAATAAACACAACTAATCCACCTGTGTTATTACTGTTATTTCAAACCGGTCGTGACTAACGCATCACTTTTCGTCAATGTGTTGAAAAGTCCACCAGAAAAAAAAAGACAACTGATATTACCATTAGGTATACCTATACCAAGTGTACCTAACTTCAGCTGTAACTCGACAACGTACAACTGTATGCTGAAAATGGCATTACCTTTGCGTTTTAGCGGAACGCAAGAAATCGAAATGGCATATCAAGTCGGGACTGTAGTCAATGTTCCTAATTGTATAAGTGTGCAAAATAAGTGACAATGTGCGATATAGGTCGTCTATGGCCTATAGGGGTCGAACAATCTTACTAGGTATCTCAAGACAGTAAGCATGCGATTGGTTTCTTGGAGGTGATCATTAGCAATAGGCTTTGCTCCTCCATGTTCATTGTTTAATTTACATACCGAGAACAGACAAATACATTATATTTCAACGTCTTCAATCTACTTCCCTTCACTCTGATCAATGATCATGCATCGCATCGCTTTCAGCAAATACGGGCTGTTGATTCATTGGCCGATACAAAAGACAAGCTTCATGGAACAAATAAGCATTGCCCGATCGACCCGGAGCGGGTAGAGGGATTGTATTTATTCTCCTTTTGTTCGTGGTTTCAGCTCGACGACGGGATGCTTCCTAAGCGAACCCGCCGACCGTCGTGCTCGAATAAATTAACCCTCGCCAGACCTTATATCTTACTGAACGGCTCTGGGAAAGAAAAATGGAAACCGAGGTCAAAAACCAAGGACAGGTACGGTTTTGCTTGCGGTTTTGGTTCAAAAGCATCAAAAAACATCGCCAAACATGGTTATAGAGCTGAGATGTTTGCATAGCATCGTGTTTGTCATCATCAACCGCGTCAAATCAAAGCTTTTTGCTGGGAAAAGTCAACCATAGGGTGTTGAGCTTATTGCAAATCCAGGTCAAAACCGTTTAGGTCATCAAGCTGACCGAGGGAAATTAAATAGCATACTATCGATTTGACAGGTCAACCTGATTTTATTGGTGGCATTACTAAACAACTTAATTCGATCGGGAGTTGTTAATAAATAAACAAAACAAGTGACCGAATTCATTGGCCGAGGCTTTGCTGAACGTTCCAGGGCATTGGATTAACCTTGAATGATGTCATGTATGACGTAATGCAAGGTTTGCATTGCAAAACCTATAAGTATCGAACCTTACCAGTAAGGCATGTCATCACGAGCTAATGTGATCAAAATACGGTCTTCCGTAATTTTCATCGCCAAATTTTCTTCTTGTCCCCCTCGCTTATAATGTTACCTATAGGTCACGCTGTGTACCAAGGTCACGTGACCGATCGGACTTCGGGTGACCTTTCTGAAAATCCGAAATAGACAAGTTATTGCGACCCGGGAGCTCACTGTACCTTCTCCCTGTGAATGCTTCCATGTCACAGAGCGCGACGACATTTTTTGTGCCGAGCAGAGGCTCGCTTATGAGTTTTTATATGATCTCATATCGAAGATATCATCATATCATTTCTTCTCAGTGCCGCCTCAAATTACTAAAAGATACGTTTGGTTTCCAAACATTTTACTTGAAAGTTGAACCAAAAGTATGGTATTGGTATGTCAGCTTTCATCTCTCTATCGCTAACGTGATGCAACGCGAGAAAGACGTCGGTGTAGGTGGCACCAAACCCGGGGCCCTCGGCCGGGGTGGCTTAATTGTGACTGAGCATGGAAATGATTTGAAAAGAATCAGTCACAAACACTGAGCTGAAGTCTTTGAAGAAAAACGTCGGGTGTCAATGAGTTCAATCAATCAAATGATAATCCACGGCGTGATGAAGCCGCCATAAAGCAAGCATTGATATGTGTTGTGCTATCACACACATGATAAAAGAGGTCGTCGAACAATATTAAGAGCTTGATTCTGGGGGAACCCGCCCTCAATGTTTCTTGTGAAGTCATCAAAAAGTGCAGTTCAATGCGCTTTATCCCTGGGGTAAGCCCGAACACTACGTCGTGAAGAGCGGCGTCCCTCCAGGCCAGTCTAATCTCGCACCCAAATATAGAAGGCATGGAAACAAAAGCAAAGATCAAAGCTGTCAACGACCATTTTTTACAGTGGTATCAAACCATATATTCTAAAGGAACTCAGTCATATCAGGAAGCATAAAATCCGGCAAAACTGATTGAAGACGATAAAAATTAAAAAACCTTATAAGAGGTCTGATAATGTGCCCGTTATTCCAGGCCCAGGTCGTTGTCAAACATGACTTCAAAGTTTCAAACACTACCGTCTACCTACACGTTTTTTGTGGACGTATGTTATGTTATGTAGGTCCGCACCTACTCCCAAAATGTTTTGACGTGTGTAGGTATTATAACCCGATGGATGGCTTGCGCAACAATCTAATACTGTTCGAGGGTTAACCCTATTCCTGGCGGGCTCCGCCGGGACAAGAAACTGGCGGGGGGGGGGGCCGATTCGGCCCCCCTTCAGATCTCAAAAACTACACATCGCAGCGACAAACGGTAAACGGCATCGGATACGCACGGTCAAGATCTACAATTTTTACTAAGGTCAATTTCAGGTCAGGTCAAAGATGACGTCACAGGGGTCGAAAAAGTCAAAATGGCGGCGCTAGATATGGAGAGAGTTTTTCTCGAATAACTTTCGAATTAGTCAAGATAGGAACAAACTAAGGGCATCATCGTGATCCTCTCGTCAATCCGCATCGAATGATATATATGTTGACCTCGAAAGGTCAAGGTCAAAGGTTGACCTCAGGTCACGTGACCTCGAGGTCATCATGTATATCATTCGATGCGTCTTGACGAGCTGAACACAATGAGACCATTCACGCGTCTGTATCTTGTTCCTGTACGGAGTTATTGGCCAAAAACCTTTGGTGACCTTTGATGACGTCACATGACCTCACAGCTGCCCAACAGCAAAACAGACCTCAAGGTAGTGAAGGTTGATCGTATATGAAGTCATGTATGGTATATGGGGCCATTCCGACCCGTTTTAGTGGTAAATTCTTGCTCAGCACCCTCGAATTCATTCTAGAGCACCCACCAGGTGTCTAGGTCATTATTAAAGATCATCCAAGATCATCTTAGGTACACTACATAACATATGCCATCATAGAAGCTGCCATTCGAACAAAAAGTATCACCGTTTGACGCGCCTTGACACGGACGTGTTGGCGCCAATTGTCTATATACAAGAACATTTTGTGCCAAAGATAGTTACGATGTTGGGTTCAAATGAGTATAAGTAGGAACACTTTTCTTGCACATGTAGGCACCAAGTTTATTGTCATTATTGACGGAAATTAAAACCCAATGTCGGGATCATTGACTCAGTCGCAGAGACGACCTATACCTATATTGATGCGAGCCTTCAAAATTGGGTACGGGATAATTAATTGACTGATTGGAATGGACTCCACACATTTAATCTTCTTACAATGATGTGTATTTTTGTTTTAAATGAATTTTTCGGCCACGGACCTCGATTATATCATTGCCAAAATATGAGCATAACATCACACGTTAAAATACCTTCCTACCTTATATTACCTACCTTATACCTTCAATACCTTTATATTGTAATAAAGCATTATATTAAATTCATACCTTTTATTTTGACATTGATGTGATCAAGGCCCGTGGCCAAAAATTTATTTAAAACAGAAATATACCTACATGACTGTAAAATTTCTAATTTAGTAGGGGAAAGTGGGGTAAGACGGGCACCTTAACTTTGGAGCCATTTTTCGGCCGCTTAGAAACATCATAGAAACGGGAAACTGAGTGAAAACTTTTTTTGACATTTTACTTCCATTTGCCAGAAGATGAGACTTAGACCTGATTCAACAAATAAACTGCAGCTATTTTTGCAAAACCTTGCAAAAACCCGTCTTACCCCAACCCCATGGGGTAAGACGGTCACATGGGTAGGGCAAGACGGCCAGCTTCTTTCACCGACTAGCACAGCTCGCAACAAATGCCCGAGATTAGCCGCATTGATACAGTCGTTCGTTGGTTTCAAGTGCTTCGGAAATGGCAGTATACGATCATTTACTGGTGGCATATGAGTGTACCACAAGTGATTGCGAGTTTTTAACTCTGTAGTCTGCACACAAAAGCTTGGACAATACATTATGGATGTTTTCAATGAAATGAGTGTTTTAAATAAATCAAAATAAAAGATTATCGACTGAACACAAATTCACCAAACTTCAATGGTGGTGTGTAGTGGGAAAGGCAATTCTGGTCCTAATTTTTCTCGCTCGTAGCGCTATTGGTTTGGTCTGCAGAAGGGGTGCCCGTCTTACCTACCCTGACCGTCTTACCCCACTTTCTCCTACGGAGGTCATTCAGAACGACCAATTGATTCCAATTTCTTACATTCAGCAAGCACTTAACGATTTGAAAAGTGTTTTAGGTACCGGGTATGTCGTTCGACTATGATAAATGTTTGTTAAAAATGCATTTTTAATTATCCATGACGTATCAAATGACGTACCTATTTTTCGTGAAGGGTACGGCTGGTTCTCTCTTACGATGGCAACTGGGGGAGTCTGCTGCCGAACAACACCTGGAATGGCATGGTTGGCATGGTCAACAGAACGGTGAGGGTCAGGGCGACAGCCGGGACGGGGGAATGTCTCAATGGTTCGGCCACAAAACAGTTCAACCTCTTCGCTCACTAAAAACGTTCGTTACTCCTATGGTTACTAGCGTCTAATGACACTACATTACACAAAAATTTTTTATTCCTATTTTCGACTCAACCTTTTCTTATCTGTCTGTGCTTAGTCTGTTCTGAGTATTCCTGTCTTCAATCTGTCTGCCTCAGTTTGCAATGTCATCGCCTAATGCCCCCGGCGTCGGCGGCTCGTCTGTGAACCCGTCCCGTCCCATTCCCATCGACCGCTCAGGAGGTCGACATGGCCGTGTCCGGCTTCACCATCAGCCACATCCGAGAGCAGGGCATCGACTTCACGGCCGCCTTCCACGAGGAGAGCACGGCGATCCTGCTGCCGGCGCCCCGGCCGCGCAGCAAGGCGTTCGCGCTCATCCAGCCCTTCTCCTGGAAGGTCAGACACAAACCGAACGGTTGCATTGTTACTGGCTGTGTGTGCCGCTGTGTTTCGGATGTGGCTGAGAGTGTGATGGCCGCTGTGTTTGGGTGTGTTTCGGGAGTTACTGAGTGTGATTACCGCTGTCACTGGGTGTTTTTCCGGTGTTACTGAGTGTGTTTCGGGTCTCTGTGCTTGGTGTGTTTCGGGTGTTACTGACAGTGTGTGCCAATGTGTTTGGGTGTGTTTCGGGAGTTACTGACAGTGTGTGCCGACTGCCGCTGTGTTTGGCTGTGTTTCGGGCAGGGCTGCGGAGTCGGAGTCGGAGTCGGAGTCGGAGTCGGTCGGAGTCGACAGTTGTGACCGGAGTCGGAGTCGGAGTCGGAGTCGATTTTAGAAACCCGAGCCGGAGTCGGAGTCGGAGTCACCGAAAATCTGTCGACTCCGCAGCCCTGCTAGGTCTGCGGAGTCGGAGTCGGGAGTTGGAGTCGGTCGGAGTCGACAATTCTGCCCGGAGTCGGAGTCGGAGTCGGAGCTGGTTTTTGAAAGCCGGAGTCGGAGTCGGAGTCGGAGTCGCCGAAAATCCATCGACTCCGCAGCCCTGGTTTCGGGAGTTACTGACAGCTTGTGCCGACTGCCGCTGTGTTTGGGTGTGTTACGGGTGTCACTGACAGTGTGATTACTGCTGTGTTTGGGTGTATTTTGGGTGTTACTGACAGCGTGTGCCGCTGTGTCTCACGTGTTTTTCGGGAGTTACTGACAGTGTGTGCCGACTGCCGCTGTGTTTGGCTGTGTTTCGGGAGTTACTGACTGTGTGTGCCGCTGTGTTTGGACGTGTTTCGGGAGTTACTGACAGCGTGTGCCGCTGTGTCTCAGGTGTGGCTGGCACTTTGTGCCGCGGTGGTCGGTGTTACACCCGTTCTACACCTGATCAGCCGCGCCGGACCCTGGACGCCAGCGCTCTACCCCGATCCGCCGGAGGCCAGGCCAACCTACTCACACATTCAGTGGTTTATATTTGGAGGAATCATCGGCCATGGTAATTGTCCGTGGTGCTTACGATACAATCACCTACAGGGTGTTTGCAAATACCTTAAACGCTCGGGAGACGGGAATTAAATTATAATTACCGTGTTACATCTTTCATTACGTTCGTTGGAGGCCGGTTTCACTTAAAAATAAAGCATAACTTTAGCCAGACACTTTAGAGCGAAATAGCGAATAGCCGCAAAAACTTCGAATGTTTTTTTTTTAGTTCCGCACTCAAAACTTTTTTACTACCTCCTGGAGGATTCATTTTCATCAAACCAGCAAGATAAGAGTATATTGAAAGGGTAACTCTTTGCTACCATCACTGAGAAAAATCCTGACTCCGCATGACACCCCCAGGGGGAGTTCACCAAAACGACACCCCAAAACTCCCAGGTGGTACTCCTCATTACACCCCCTCCAAAACTCTCCATTACACCCCAAAACTTCCCTCGAGAAACTCTCTGTAACTCTCCCTACCGTTTTAGAAAACTCTTCATTTCTCTCCTTTACCCCATCAAAACAAACAACATACTCCCTGAAACTCCCTTCCATTACTCTCAATGACTCTCTTACTGCCTCAAAATTACTCCCGATTACTCCATTCCATTATTCCCCAAAACTCCGTTTACAGCTTCATGGTATACCTCTAGTTAGTCCCCATCAAACTCACCCAAACTTCCCATCACTCCACTCCAGCCCCCCCCGAAAATAAATATTGGACGAATAGCGTAACCACCCAAAGCTCGTGTACCGAAGCACAGATAAAAAAATATATTTCAAGAAATGTGTATTCATAGTCCGGGGCGGTGGGAGGCTTAAAAAATTGACAAACGCTTCCGACATCACGCCGCGGCACGCTCTCCGGGGATCTCACTTCATATGCTACACGGTCGCGAGTTTTGATGTAAAAAATCCAAAAGGCGGCCTACCACAGCAGGAATGCTTGGTCTGGTGGTGCCGCTACCACCTCCTGGGCCTCGACGAATACTGCGTCTTCTTCGTCCGGCTCTCCTTTCACGATGGTGGGATGGATATTTTGCGGGCCTCCGTTGGCTTCCGACGTGTCTTGCGGGATGCACTGCAGGCTCTCCAGCTCATCCCCTGCAAAATGTTAATAACCATGAAATTATACGTACACTTAACATTGCGTGGGAGGGGAGGAAATGGGTTAGAAAGAAAAAAGAGAAGGAGGGAAATAATGAAGGAGGGAGGGAGGGAAGGAGGGGAGGGATGAAGGAAGGAAAGAAGGAAGGAAGGAAGGAAGGAAGGAAGGAAGGAAGGAAGGAAGGAAGGAAGGAAGGAAAAAAGGAAGGAAGGAAGGAGGGAAGGAAGGAAGGAAGGAGGGAAGGAGGGAAGGAAGGAGGGAAGGAAGGAGGGAGGGAGGGAGGGAGGGAGGGAGGGAGGGAGGGAAGGAAGGAAGGAAGGAAGGAAGGAAGGAAGGAAGGAAGAAAGGAAGGAAGAAGGAAGGAAGGAAGGAAGGAAGGAAGGAAGGAAGGAAGGAAGGAAGGAAGGAAGGAAGGAAGGAAGGAAGGAAGGAAGGAAGGAAGGAAGGAAGGGAGGGAGGGAGGGAGGGAGGGAGGGAGGGAGGGAGGGAGGGAGGGAGAGAGGGAGAAAGAAAGGGAGAGAGAGGGGAGGGGAATGAGGGAGTGAGGAAGGAAGCGAGGAAAGATGGAAGGAAGAAATCAGGGAGGAGATTGAGAGGTAGGCAGATGAGACAAGATGGACGAGACGAGACACACGCAACCTGACGTGTTGGCACTGATACTGCATTTCGGCACATAATGTCAAAATAATGAAAGCAAGAGATTGCAAAGTTAGAATACTTTTTATGCACTACAATTTTGATAAAGTTAACTTTCAGTGAAAGTCTAAAGGGCAAGTTATAGGGGCTAGGAAAATCAAGGCTTTTATGCCAAGATAGTTTAATTTTCTGGCTCTGCTTTGAAAGCCCTTCAAATTTTGATAATTGTCATTGACATGGATATTAAAACAATCGGACAATAACAAAGGATCCATGACGTGTAAAGCTTGTGTAATCCTTACTTTCCAATTTATTCGAGGGAAATAATGTATGATATTTGCCAATACCTACCTAGAAACTCAGAGCATGCTGTTTCCGATCTTTATCTCACTCAGGAACGAAACAAATCAATTACCCTTACTGAGACAATTTCCAGCTCATCAAGAACATGGGGTTACCATATGTTCTCACCACAGCATTATAACACTTTGCACTATAAAAGCATGATGAGAAATACAGCTAAGCTTACCTTTAAATCCAAAGAAAGGTCCAATTATCCGTCACTGTATAGGCCAGGTCCGTCGAAGGCAACACGCTCTTCACTAACACCTCGCCCGCCGCCCCGCACAACGTGCTGTATACTATTTATACGCGCAAAAGATGGCGGCCACCGGCAGCCTCGCGACGTATGCTAAAACCCCTTCGTAACTCCCCTTTTACTCCTGTCGGAACGTTCGGGAAAAGTTTTTCGGGAGTAATGGAGAGCTGCGTCACAGAGTTATGGGATGTCACACATGGAGTCATTTCGTCATCTATTAAAAACTCTTGAAACTCTTGTCCGTCGAAGGCAACACGCTCTTCACTAACACCTCGCCCGCCGCCCCGCACAACGTGCTGTATACTATTTATACGCGCAAAAGATGGCGGCCACCGGCAGCCTCGCGACGTATGCTAAAACCCCTTCGTAACTCCCCTTTTACTCCTGTCGGAACGTTCGGGAAAAGTTTTTCGGGAGTAATGGAGAGCTGCGTCACAGAGTTATGGGATGTCACACATGGAGTCATTTCGTCATCTATTAAAAACTCTTGAAAACTCTTTCGCAAAATGAGGAAGGCTCAAAGTTACCCTAGAACACACTCAATAACTCTGCTGGAAAGGGTGTTATCGATGGTTTTCAGGAGTTTTCAGGGGAGCATTTTCAAGAGTTTTGACCCATATGGAGTCAATTTTTTTCTCAGTGATTATGTGCATAGTAACGGTACGTGGTTGATATGAACTTATTCGCCAGCGAAGAGTATTATTACCATGTAAATATCAATATTACTCTCGCGATCCAGAACATCACGAAAACTCTTTCCTTTTGGGTATCGTGACTCGTGCAACAGATAGTCGTTTCATGCGTGGATCTTGTTTACTCTCGTGAAGATGATATTTGAAATGGAATCACTCAGCCAATCAGAAACGAGATCGGCCGTTTGCGGTTTGAAGGCCGCGCGCATCTGTCAGTTTTCGGCCGTTGGTCTCCGAGAGCGGATGTGAGCAGTGTCGGTGCCGCGCGGCGTGGCCGTTGGTGATTGTGCTTGCGTGTTGTTCATCGCCTATAGAGCCTCTGTGGACATTTTATTGTAAGTACCGATGTGCTAGAGCATTGCATGCCGCTGAGTGGTGTTAATTTGACCTGGTTAACAGGACCCCGTGCACGGCCACGTGGCCTAGGTTGTGAGTACGTACATTAATTTTGTTGTGATGCTACAAGTTTATGCATTTTGTTGGTGACTTTGAAAAAGCCTTGCACTGTAGTGATCCAGTCTCATTATCTCACGCATACGGGCGACCACCCAGGAACGCCGTCGCTCTCTTCAAATATTGTGCGCTGTGCCTTATCCAATATGAGGGCGCTGAATGTCTTGTATTCACATTCAAAGTGCATTCAAGTTGTATCGTGGTGTTTATTTACCGCTTGTGCATTGCTGAACGCTTCGTATAAATTCGTATGCATAAGTGGAGAGTCTCACAATGTTCATTGCTGGTGTGCCCCTCGTATTGTTTGTACGGAAGCCAAATATACATTGTTGCTCTTGAAGCATGTTTTTTTAGTTGGTGAGCTCCGGTTAACAGAAGCTTCGTGAAGCTTCTGAAGCAAGCGTCTGTGAGTCTGTTACCATCCTCTGGGGGGTTTACACTAAAGGAAAGAGTAAACATTACCATGTGACAAAGGGTAGGCCAGAAGAATACACTCTCTGTAGGAGGGTAAAGCACAGAGTAGATGATGCGTTACTCCCTAGAAAAGGGTTCCGTTTAAGATTTACCCTTTCAAAGAGTGTAACCCAAAAAATGTTACACTCTAGACAAGAGTAAATCAAAAGAGTTTACCATTCAGAAGATGGTAAAAAGCGTCTGTGTGTCATGTTACCCCTCCCTGGCGAGTTTACTCTTCATGAAAGAGTAAAATTTACCATCTGGAAGGTGGTAAAAAACGTCTGTGTGTCAAGCTACCATGCTATGGCGGGTTTACCCTTTAGGAAATGGTAAAAAAGTTTTCAGTGCGACTACCAGGCTAGGCGATCTTCCACAAAATAAGTTAAGCTGTTCTGTGCGGTAACAAGTATCCAAATTAACGACACCCATATCGGGCGCTCCCTCAGGGGATCGCTGCATCCCGGCCAGCCTGTCCTCCCGCGTGATGCTGGCCTTCTGGTGGAGCGCGGCCGTCACCATCATGGCTTCGTACACCGGTAGGTGCCCCAAGCCGTATCCGAGAGTCGGTAATGTGGCCGTGCAAAATGGAACGGTATACGTACGATAAAATATGGAAAAGCAGCACTCGTTGGTAAGTTTTGAAATTTCACATACAATGTAAGTTTGTGCCTGACCTGACCGTAAAAGATCAGGCTTCAATCAGTCGACCTGTACTGTTCCATACTGACGAGCTGATCGCAAATGAATTGGTGTGATGGCTTTATTACCCTTACATTTGTACAACATTGTGGAAGGTTTTATGATTGCTTCGATTAAATCCCTGGGCTCCGGCCCAATGTCTCTCGTCTCCATTCACTGGCCTAAGCTTTATCGAGCCTAATAAGCAGTGCGCTTGCGAGTGGCTCTGAATTGGAAACCTACGACAATCACAAGTCAAGTGGCGGGGCCAGAGCCCTGCGCAGCGTTATAGTAAGTTACAGGGGACGCCCGGACGAGGTCATACTATTGACGGTCACTGCACATCGATAATATTCTAATCCAGCGGCGACTGCCCAGACAGGGGCGGATCCAGGAATTTTCGGGAGGGGGGGCGGCAAGTCGAAATAGGGGCGACCTGGCAATCCGGGGGCGCTCCATACAAAGGGGGCGCCAAACCGTCAAAATCGGGAGCTAAAAGCCCGCGCCGTGCTAGGGGGCGTTATCGCGCTCCCCCTCAGGTTTTTCGCAAATATCTGAAAAACGGCTGCGCTCAGCGCCGCCATTTTCAGCATACCTTATCATGCATCTTTTTTTTTTGCACATGTTGTAAAAATGTCTGACGCGGGTGATGGAAGGTCAGGTCACCATGTTATGCCAAGTGACCTAGCCTAAGAAAAAGTTCAAATGCTTACCATTGCTATACCGACTGAACGATTGCTTTGAACCTTTCAGCGATTGATGAAAGCAACACTATTCATGAAATGTATATCTCGGAATTTCGATATCAGTGACCTAAGGTCAGGTCAGTTGTGCGACGTCTCCATTAGTTAGGTAGGTATAATTAAGTCTTTGGGAGAAAACTGAAAGGCATCTCTTTTGGACGAGCGCCATTCTAGACAATATCAAGCATTGGGATACATATAAAATTAACACACTGAATAAGAACATTGCACCTAGTGTGACCACTCATTATGTCCCATAGGTCATCACATGTCATGAAAGGTCCGCAGCAGTTTTTTTTAAAAATAACTTTTGATAGATTCAAGCTAGAGCGATAAAAACACCTCAGCTGTGTTCAGCTCGACGATACGCATCGACTGCTATGCAGCATGACCTTTCCCGGTCAGGTCATGACCTTGACCTGAGGTTAAATTCTCAAAATTACCTTTCATAAGGTCAACCTTTAGTTTGTTCGACGTGTCTCGACGACAGAAACGCAATGCTGGCAAATGTAATGTCGAGACTCTCTTGAGTCAAAAGTTATTGCAGGAAAACATTGTTCGTAAAAAGGCTATTTTTTAGAGTCTTTTGCCCTCTGAAATCTAAACCGTTGACCTGAGGTCAAATCTGAGCGCATCTTGCAGAAATACCTTTAAAAGGGCTATCGAATGCGCTTTTCTGCGGCGCTATAGCTCTATTGGTTTCCGAGTTACGTGCCGCTGCTTCGAAAACGGAAAAATGTTGAAACAGGCAACATTTTACCTTTGATGACCTGGTGACCTGACATTCGACCTGACCTAAAAAGTGTCCCGTTTTGTTTTCGTCCTGTTTTTTGACGATCTTTCGAATGCCGCTTATCGCGTGTCACTACGCGGCCCAGGAGCCGAGTTAGACGAGGGAGTGTGCCCCCCCCCCCCCTCCCCAGCAGGACACGGAAAACTCAGACCACCAGCACGGCACGGGTTAAAAGTCGTAGATGGGCACCGCTACCCTAGCAAAAGATATTAGCAAAAAGGTGGCCTCCATTTACTGGTGCAGTCCTTCTTCTCCCGGTGATGCCCCCTCCTTTTTCTGGAAGCGTCTCACTTATGCTGGTATGCCTCACTTCCCGGGGGCGCTCAACCTCTGCTTGGATCGCCTAATCCATTATGGAGAGACCCACTTTGCTTAAGTCGCCTCATTTCTTCCTTCTAAGAACGACCAATTTGCTGTAGGCGGCCCACTTATCTGGGACGCCCATCTTCTGCTAGAAGTGCCCCTCTTCTTCCTGATGCGTCCCACTTCTACTACGAGTGCACCTTTTCTGTTAGGGCGCCTCTTTGCTGCTGAGGAGTCTTTTTCTACTGTGAATAGGGCGGCCCTCTCCTGTTGAGCGACCCCAAATTCTGCTGGAGGCGCCCCACTTCTGCCCAACTTTTGGTGGGGTGCCCCTCTCTTGCAGGGGGCACTTCTCTTTTGCTGGAGACGCCACTCTTGTGGGGGCGCCCTTCCACTGCGGTGAACGTCTCTCTTCTGCCAGAGGCACCCCTTTTCTTCTTATGGGGCTCCTGTTTTTTTTTTTCTGGGGCGAGGCGACCCTCTGCTGCTCGGAACGGGGCACACCTCTCCTTTTACTGGGGCACCGCCCCTCTGCTGGGGTTGCCCTTCCGCTGTCGTCAGGGGCGCCCCTCTTGGTAGAATATACTCCTTTTCTTTTTGTAATGGGGCGCCCCTCTTCTACCGGGGGCGCCCATCTGCTGCTCGGGCGTCTGTCTTCTGCCGGATATTGTCAATGGGGCGCCCATATCCTGTTTGGCGGGCCCAACCTCTGCTGGAGGCTCCCTATTTCTGATTAACTTTTGCTGTGGCGCCTCTCTTCTGCTGGGGCGCCCCTCTTCTGCTTGGGGCGCCCGTCTCCTGCTGGAGACCCCTCTCTTCTGCTGGGCGCCCCTCTTCTGCCAGTGGCACCCATTTTCTTATTATGGGGCTCCTTTTTTGCTGGGGCGCCCAGCTGCTGTCAGGGCGCCCCTCTTCTCGGAATGGGGGCGCCTCTCTCGTTTTGCTGGGGCGTCGCTCCTCTTCAGGGGGACACGTCTCCTGCTAAGGGTGCCCTTCCGCTGCCAGGGGCGCCCCTCTTGAACAGAAGGTATTTTATATTCTTGTAACGAGACGCCCTCTTCTGCTGGGGGCGCCCATCTGCTGCTGGGGCGACTCTCATCTGCTGGGAATAGGCCATTGGGCGTCACTCTCCTGCTTGGTGAGCCCAACTTCTGCTGGAGGCGCCCTATTTCCGCTGAACCTTTGCTGTGTCGCCGCTCTTCTGCTCGGGGCGCCCTCTCTGCCGCGGGATATGGGCGCCTTTTTCGGATGGCGGGGGGGGGGGGGCGGCCGCCCCCGTCGCCCCCCCCTGGATCCGCGCCTGTGCCCAGATGTCAACAGCGCATAGTTTTGGGAACTGAAAACATTGAGGTTACAATGCAAATTGCATTGCATTCGCCAATGTTGATTATGATCATTTAGTGTCTTATCGGGTATTTTCCGTAATACTAGTTGAATGAATACGTCTCAGGCCGGGGGGATCCAGGGCGTCGCAAGTCCATCTACGACACGTCGCAAGTTACGACACATGTCCCGTCGCAAGTTGTGTCGTAGCGAAAAAGGAGGGATGTTGAGGAAAGAGGGGTTTGTCGGAGGATACGACAGAACGTAGCTGCGACGAGGCTTAAATACCCGCTTTACTCGAGAATTTAAAAGGCTACACGATCAGCTGATCCCGTAGTAAACGTCAGTAAGGTCGAAAACTCTATCACGCATAAAGGAACATTCGCCTTTCTGGTTTGCGAGCTTATGAGACAGCAAGGTCAAGCATGTTCTCTGATTCTGAAGCTTTGTATTAACTGGGTGACTTGTGGTTGCTAACGCTCACGTGATTTGCCATAAAATTTGGGATCGATCACAGGAGATTCGTGGCTATAGGGCATCTAGAATCGATGCTTTAGAAGAAATGAGTTCCGAGAGTTTGAGGTCACAGAGAGGTAAGAAATTTGTAGATGGAGGTCACAATTGGAGGTTACAGAGGTCATCTGGGACACGTCAGGTCACAGAGGTCAACTTGGGGTCATCACAGAGCTCAATTAGAGACCACGGAGGTAATCTGAGACACGTCAGGTCACAGAGGGCAACTTGGGGGCACGTCAAGTCACAGAGGTCAACCTAGGGTCATCACAGAGCTCAACTGGAGGTCACGGAGGTCATCTGGGACACATCAAGTCACAGAGGTCAACTTGGGGTCATCACAGAGCTCAATTGAAGGTCATTGGGGCCATCTGGGACACGTCAGGTCACAGAGGTCAGCTTGGTGCCATCAGAGAGGTCACTTAGAGGTCACAGAGGTCATATGGGACACGTCAGGTTACAGAGGTCAACTAAAGGTCATCAGAGAGCTCAATTGGAGGTCATATGGGACACGTCAGGTCACAGAGGTCAGCTTGGAGTCACTAGAGAGCTCAATTGGAGGTCACGGAGGTCATCTGGGACACGTCAGGTAACAGAGGTCAACTTGGGGTCATCACAGAGCTCTATTGGAGGTCATGAGGGTCATCTGGGACACGTCAGGCCACAGAGGTTAGCTTGGGGTCATCATTGAGGTCACTTAGAGGTTACAGAGGTCATATGGGACACGCCAGGTCACAGAGGTCAAGTTGGGGTCATCACAGAGCTCAAATGGAGGTCATCTGGGACACGTCAGGTCACAGAGGTCAGCTTGGAGTCATCAGAGAGCTCAATTGGAGGTCACGGAGGTCATCTGGGACACGTCAGGTCACAAAGGTCATGTTGGGGTCATCACATAGCTCTATTGGAGGTCATGGGGGTCATCTGGGACACGTCAGGTCACAGAGGTCAGCTTGGAGTCATCAGAGAGCTCAATAGGATGTCACGGAGGTCATCTGGGACAGACCAGGTCAAAAAGGTCAACTTGGGGTCATCACAGAGCTCATTGGAGGTCATCGGGGTCAGCTGGGACACGTCGTTTTTGGAATTGGGAGAATATTTTGGGAGATGCCCCTTGCAACGTCCAAGACCGCCTTTCTGGATTCGCCAGTAGTTGCTGGAATGGTGTTAGGCTACTTCATATCCCCGAATACCCCAATAAATGTGAATATAACATACTATGCACCATTTTCAACACTCTCGCTGGCACCGATTGAGGCCTCATAGACGACCCGTCAGTTCAAGCTCTATAACTCGCGTTAGCGTCAAAGGATTGCAACCAAATTTTCAGGATCTAAAGTTTAAACAATTTTACACCTACCATGTAAATTTCGTGACCATGACCCCAATGACCTGTGACCTGTGACCTCTTCCTCAAGGCAAGGTCAACTTGCGACACAACTTACGACTGCTATTTCAAATTCGTAAGTTGTGTCGCAAATCAGGCTATTTGCGATAGACTTTACTATTTAAGTAACGCTACTCATCAATTGATCCCTTCAAAAACGACTTACTACACAACTTGCGACACGTCGCAGCTACGACGAGGCTTACGACGCTCTGGATCCCCCCAGCCTCAGTGTTTCAGTCATCACATTACAAAAGCCGATTTGGGACCATGAGCATTGGGCATTATAATTACCGAAAGTGCCTACCTGATTCTTCTCTCAGCGCATCTGGTGATCATCGTGACGCAATCATCTGAACCAAAGAGCCTTTCATTGACGTGCCGTGATCATTTACAAATGAGTAGGTACAGCCCACTGGCGGTCCCAGGGGGGGGGGGGGCACGGGGGCCATGGCCCCCCCTTTGGTGCTGAAAGGTGGGGCCATACTATCTTTTGGCCCCACCTTTCAGATCGAACAAAAGTCCTAGAAAGCTTTTTGTATGTTTCATTTTCTTTCTTGCGCCATCAAAGGACGTAAATTTCACTCATGGAGTGGGCTCAGTTTCGCATTCTGTCAATTTGGCGGTCAGCGTCGCTGACACCGATTCACGAGTATGGCCGGATCTTATATGGAATATCAGCGTGGGTTTACTTGAGGCTCTCGTAGGCCCAGCAATGGCTGGCATGAGACCCTCTTCGGCAGTGCCGGGTGGGCCCTGCCAAATGAGCGTGGCTCTTCGACATGCTAAAGTAAGACCTCATGGGTTGATGCTGTGCACCTCAGAAGCCCGGTGGTGACGCCGTATGCTGGCTTGGTTTCTTAAGGATTAGCGTGGGACCTCCGGGGCCTGCATAGAGTTTGCATGAGCTAGTAGGTATGCAATCTCAGAGGCCTGTGTGTAATGTGTACACAGTGGCGGTCGCGGGGGGGGGACATCAGGGCCATGCCCCCCAAAGGCCAATAAAGGGGGCTATCATATCATTTGCCCCCCTCAAACAACCGATGGGCCCCCATAGGTGTATGGGGCCCTGGCCCTTATTCGATCGTCACGAGGCCTAAAAAAAAAAACACTCCCAGCTATCAATATAGCTCCCACACCGGTCTTTCAGTGTCCTACACTGACCTCTGAGGGAACTTCAGTGGCGGTCAAGCGCCCATGTTGGCCGCTTAGAGCCCACATCGACCTCTGAAGCCCCACATCTGGCCTATGATGGCCCCTAACCGTCCTCAGGGGCCCCAACCGGCGTCTGAGCGTCTCACACCGGTCTCTGGTGGCCTTATTTCTGTCTCTGGCGTCCCAAGACGAACCTTTAGGTGCCAATGAGTCCCCGCACTGGCTGCTAAAGACCTGATGCCGGCCTCTAAGGGACTGCATTGGCCTCTGAGGAAGGCCCATCTTGGCCTTTGAGGGCCCTCTGCTAGCCTCTGGGGTCCAACGACGGCTCATGCCGGTCTTTTAGAGCCCCACGCTGACCTCTGAGGGCCCCATGTTGGCCTGTAATGAGTAAGGACCCACATTAGCCTCTGAGAGCCCAACTCGGTATCTGATGGTCTCAAACTACTGGCCTTTGCAGTTTGCAGGCCCTGTACTGGTCTCTGAGGGCCTTAAACTGGCCTCTAAGTGAAAACATACATATGCATGGGCTTCTGAAGCTCAGAGGGCTTACGCAGACTCCTGCACAGCCTTACGTTGGTCCTGATCGAGATCACTTTACGTCCTGATGGTCCCGCGTAGATTTCCTCATATTTCGACGTCAGGACCCCATGAGCCGTTGTGGGTCCTGGGGCTGGCAGAGACTGATGAAGTCCTCAGGGCTCAGGGCCAGTCTTCTTAGCATGAGGACTAGGCATTTGAGTGAGCCCCAATAGAGCCGTTGCGAAGCCCACAGGAGTCGCGCGTGGCCCTCAGATGCCAATTTTGAAAGCCAGGAACCTTTGGTCACCAGAGGTCGGTGTACCTAGCTTCTCTCTCCCGCCGCCACACAACTACTCGTATATGGGTAAATGTCATAGTCTGAAAATGCTCTCTGGGTTTCACATGCTTGTTCAAAGCAAGAGGTAGGTATCTGTACTTTTCCGAATTGTTTTATACTGGTAAGGTAAGGTCATGAATCCGCGTGCCCGACCTTCCAGTATATGCTACACCGATCCGTCGCCATGGTGCAGTGGCCCGACCGGTGGAAACACCGTGGGACGAAAAATGGTAGGTACTGGTGATTTTGCCTTAAATTGAGCTTAAAGATTCCACGCAAGAACGAGATGAATGAAGCATAAGTATGGCCAACTGCGCGGCGCCTCGCGGGCGTAAAAAATGAGCCAATCACCCTCCGGTGACGGATAAATGTTATGTCCCGCGAGTGTGAGTTTGGCCCCCCCTTTTGCTAGCGGCTGCGACCGCCAGTGGTACAGCCCACCGCTAAAGTAATGTAGGGTTTTACCAATCTCAACGGTTGGCTTTGAGTGGCGATTGTTTAATGCGGAGTGATCGAAAAGAAGATGTCAATAGCTAAAGTTGCAGCCACAAGGGTGACGATACATATAGGCTACATTCAAAGTTTCATTGTAGTCTGGCTAATCGTTCCTAAGCTTCAGAAGCAGAACATACCCATGACTGAAACCCCACATTACTTCTGCTGTGGACTGTACCTATGGCTCTACCCACTAAATAAACGTAACCTATACGGATGGAGGCTACCGGGTAGAATTTGGTGGATGGGTACTGGGGAGTAGTAAAGTAATCTTGGGTACTGGCCACTGGGTATGCGCATGCAACGAGGAAAAAGAATTTATTGCACATTAGTAACCCGCAACTAAACCAACAAGTCAGCCTAAAATAAGATTCATGAGTCACTAATGCTAGCATTCCAATCAATTTCCATCGTTCCACGCCAGAAAGGGAGGCGCGTCATAGGCTGGCCCGGAGCGCATGGGAGTAGTGCGGCACAGTCTATCAACACAGTGAATACCGATTCGAACCGCCTTCGCGGCACGCAATGCCCCTTACGGCCGTAGCCTGTTAGGTATATTTGAATAATCATCCGAAAGTTAATTCTGATTTCTGAACATTTAGCACGTCACTGGTGGATCCAGCGGAGGGGCATTTATAGCCATGCCCCCACCCCCGCAACGCCTGAAATCGATAAGATTTAGCGTTTTTTTTTTTTAGACAATAAAAGAAAACTCAGCAAGTTTATGAGGAAAAGCTTGTTTTTAACCGCACAACAGTGCGTAAAGAATCAAAATCCGATAAGTTTTTGGAACTTGGAGAAGCTTTTCTGGGGACTATGGCTATGCCCCCCCCCCCCCCCCACACACACACCCCTCCCCTCCGGCCCGCAGCGTCCAATGCCGCATTTCTGGATCCGCCCAGGAGTGGAGCTTCCTATACAGCTGGTGGGGCGACTGCCCCACCAGTTTGCCATTTTGCCCCACCAATAACCGTTTTTCCCCACCCACTTAAAACCCACTAATTCATCCCCTGAACTGTGCGCAGGGACGCTGATAGCGTCTCTGACCGTGCCGACTGTGGCAGACTCGATCGAGTCTTTAGAGGAGCTGGCTTTCCAGGACGAAATCAAATGGACCTACCGCATCTACTCGTCCATGGACAATCTGTTCAGGGTGAGACAAGCTGATTTCTGCAGGTAGAGGCCGGTAGAGCTATTTACTTGTAAGAAGTACTACTGCTTTAGGCCATGCAGTCAAGTCCCTCTAATTATGCTTATGCATCTACATTATAGGCTCACATCGTAGAAAAATACGCTTAGGGTGTTTCGCCTACTGTCAACTCGTATCGACGTATCGACTCTCGAGACTAGGTAGTTCATATTTCGTAAGCCAAATCTCGTCAAATATTTTTTTATGAACATTTCAACCTTTCTTTTGTGTTTCATTTATCCACTCTCCACCCTCCTTGCACCGTTTCATTCACATGCCGTCACAGTGACTCTGTATTCCGTATCTGTATTCGTTTCGGCCAGTCCCGTCTCTATCTCTCGCCATTCTGCTTCAGTCTGAACCCTGTTCCTGTCCCCGCTGAAGTCGCGTTCCGTTTCAGTCGTCGGGCTCAGCCGTGTTCCGACAGATGGCCACTCGGTACGCCGACAGTAAGGTCACCACAGATTACGAGGGAGTCGACAAGGTGCTTACCGGCGAGTGGGCCTTCATCAAGGTCAGTGTGGGCGTCACAGAGGCTAGGTCCTGACGGAGTGATCAGTGACCTTCAGTCGAGGTCACGGCAGGACAAGGCTTGATTGCCCCATGCCATGACAGCGATTTATGGTGATTCTAAAATCTAAACGTTTACGAGCCAAAATTTTAGTCCTACTTCAAATCACACTATTACTAAGTTTGAAGCTCGGTTCCCCGTTTTCAGGAGCGTTCTTTCCTGGACTTTGCGCTCGACGAGGACTTTCAGCGTACGGGTCAGTGTCGTCTGCAGATAGCGGCGCGCGAGTTTTACACAGTGGGATTCGGCTGGGTGCTGCAGACCGGCAGTCCACTGAAGGAGCTCTTCGACCTCGAGTGAGTGGCGTGCCGGCGTGGAACCGTGGAGGGCTGCACCAGACTGGGTGATTATTTCTGAGAGTGTGATAGAACGCCCATCAGCCGCCACCGTGAAACGAAGCACCGGATGTTTGGGCAGGCCCCTAACGGTCGATGATACGACAATAGAGCAGCATGGTTGATATCGTACACCGTCTACGAACAAAGTGTGATGCACGCAGGTATTGATTCCGTGTCGTAATAGATGCCTACATTCAGACTTTGATGAACTATTGTGTCCTTAGAGAATGGCTCGCACTATAAGGCAGTGTTACGAAGACCCGCCTTTGAATGCATTGTCGATGATGAGCCACTATATGTAGATACTGGCCATTTTGTGTCAATCAAACCGTATCCGGATGTTTGTGTACTTGCACGTTTTTTTCAATCATACGTCCGACAGTTGTTCGACAAATGATTCCACATTGTGTCGCTGTCATTGTGGAGAGCGAATGTATGTTTCTCCTTACAATAACGTTCAATGACGTTATTCAATGACGTTATTGTCTGTCCACACCGCCCCCGTGTGTTCCTCGCCGCAGGTTCCTCCGTATGAGCGAGATGGGCCTGTTCGGCAAGTGGCGCGGCATGTACTGGCCGGCGCCGTCCAACTGCAGCACGGGCCTCATCTTCACCGACGTAGGCAGCCAGCCGCTGGCGCTGGCCGACCTGGTCTCGGCGTTCCTGCTGCTCGCGCTGGGCGCTGTGCTGTCCACAGTAGTTCTGGCGGCGGAGATGGTGTATCGCTCGGCCTGTGCCGGCCGGCGCTGAAAGTGGAGCGGCTGGGCAGCGGGTGGTGAAGAACCGAGCTTTAGGGGTCGGGCGGCGAGAGCTGCTAGTGTTGTAGGGTCAGTGGCACCGAGTGGAGGATGCTCACTGCTCAGTGCCCAGGGTGGTGCGAGGCCGGTAGGCGGGGTTGAGGAAAGTGGAAGGCGATGCCGAAGTTAGACGGTGTATGAGAGACGGCGCTGCTAAAACGAATGATGGAACGAATGCTTAAGACGCTGAGGGTTTTTAGAGTTAACAGATCGATGTATAATATTTCATCTGATATGTTTTACTCAGTTAGGATTGTTGTAAGGATATGCGCATCGCTTTGGGTTATCAGCTCCGAATAAGCAACGCGCGGTCGAAGTAGCGATGTCTGTGATAGAGCACCTCGTCTATCGACACGAAGAGAGTACTTCTGGGTCGTTAGGCCATATAATCGTCTAGTTACGAGACGATGATCAGCACCGCTCACCTTATAGGTATCGTTACGTCGGACGGCGGACATTGATCAACATATGTGTCGAAGTCCTCGAACAGCTATCAACAAGATAATATTATAGTACCTAGCTACTATTCAGATAAATAATTTCATTTTAAAAGGACAATATTTCAAGCATATGTCGTTACCATAGCCTTCTTGTCATGAAGGTGATAGTGCAGTGCATTTCCCTTGTGTTATTGTGGAAGACATACTAAAGCGACGAAGTCCTTGCAATATGGGGCCGAAACGTCTTTTTTTTTGTCGGTGGTTTTATCTTCATTCCCTTTTATTGTTTACACCCATGAACAACAAGCAATAAAATAAATACAGGACATTTTTTAGTGGAACGTGACCGTCTTTTGATGCGTCTCGAGTGAAAGCGCTTGGATAGATGCGTACCTACATATGTAGATACTTAATGCTTATACATATAACCATCGCATTCCGTTTGGCTCTTTCATCGGTCTCATCTCGCTGCATTTGTCCTTCTGCCATAGCCTTGTCGGTACCTATAACTCGTAGTTCAATGCGTGCATATCCTTCCTCTAAGGCCCAATCCAATATGTCCCACTCGGTGCGCGCCCTGCCTGTATGTAGGTATCTTCCTGCTTTTTTTGGCATTCCGTGTCGTACCCGCGTCTGTAGGCACGCAAGTACCACCATATCTGCAACATTCTATCCATTCGTTCGTCTTGATCCGATGCCCAAAACTGTGTCCGTTGATTCTTCATTGGTTCACGTCTCGTTCCCTTCCAACGGCCGTAGTCTATTGGCTATACCTTCTGCCCGTCCGTCTCTGTCCGTTAAACCGTCTCTGTCTCTCTGGACTCTGCTTTGGTACAGCGATGACGGGCTGTCGCCCTCCTTGTCGTTTCTTACCCGCCTCTTGTCAGACCCTTTCGGTCTGGCGAGACCATTTCAGAGGCGGAACTCACTCACTGCAGTGGCGCGGGAACTTCTTCAAGGCCGGGGGGGGGGGGGGCTCAACCATGATAGAGATCAACCTAGGGTACCCCCAAATCTAGTTTTCTCACCGGTTTTAGGCCACTTATTTTTCAGACCTTGGCCTTTTCAACGAAAAAAAAAAACGAAAATATTTGCAAAAAAGTGAGGTATTCCGTCTCAGCTGAGTGAAGAAACTGCCGTTTTGGCAACCTGGAATAAAGGTTTTAATCTGCCAATGAGTTGCCGAGCCAGTGAAAGAGGTGGATTTTTCACTTACATGCTTCCTTCCTTTGTGACCCACAACCCCTAATTTGGGGAGGACAAGCTGCCCCAACGGCTCCTGGCCTCATGGAAAGTTGTGGGGCACCGCCCCCACGGCCCCAGAGTTGTGGGGGCAAGCTTCCCCCTCTGCCCCCTCCCCCGGTTCCCGCGCCTATGTATGAATCTATGAAATTATGCTGGTAGATTTCCGATTTCGATTCCTCCAGCTGGGGGGGGGGGGGCTCAAATACATTACAAGCCCCCCCAGCCGAAAAGTTGGAGGGGCTCAGCCCCCGCTAGCCCCCCCCCCCCCCCGGTTCCCGCGCCACTGGGCGGAAGGATGATAGGAATTAGGGGGAGACATTGGTCTGGGCAGACACCCTAGAGAGTCGCCGGGGCTCGGAGCCCGTCCGAATAGACAAGCCGACCAGCCCCCCAAGCACTCTCTGCACCTGGATACGGGTGTGCTCCCTTGGGATCCAGCGGTGCCGCTCCAAGGGAGCAGCCCGCATCACGCATGAGATAAAGTTGCCTGTCCAGCCCGGAGCGAGGTTTGCGGCGTGGACGAGAAGGATATTTTAACATCCTGAAGATGGAAGCGACGGACGGGTGGACATTCTGTCCGTCAGTTCGTCTTTTATGCCTTGGTCCGTGAAAACCGCCTCCCTGCGGCCTACCTCTTACCTACTGTTTAATGTCTCCCTTTAATCTTAATCCATTTAATCTCCCGCGACCCGTCCTATCCGTCTTTCCTTCCATCCTTTTTTTACTCAGCTAGCACCCACAGAATTTCTATCTGTACCTCATTCTTGTCAATCCATCCACTTAGGCGGGTATTTAACCCGCGCCCAGATGGGGTCTGCCGAGCAACGCGGTCTGATGGGGGGGGGGGCATTTTGCCCCCCCCCTCAGATCTCGAGAACCACGCAATATAGCGACAAGCGGTAAACGGTGTTGGATAGCCCCAACGGGGAACTACCTTGTGACCCAATTTCATTGACCTCGGTCAAACCGATGACGTCACAGGTCAGGTCAAAGGTCGAATTTTCACCGTTTACAGGCATTTCAAGAAATGCGTTGTAAAATCGAGTAAAATGCATTTCAGTGAAAATCATCGGTGGAGAAATGTTCTTCAAACACATATTTTGCTATTTGAGGTCACTGATACCAGGTCAGGTCACAGAGGTCAGGTCACTGGGGGGGGGGGTCACAATATGAAAGTGTCGTGTGATACATGTTTTATGGTCCATTTTACATGACAAATGCGATTATGTGGGTCAGACAGACTTTAGGGCCGGCTTAGGTCACGTTTTGGTCAAGGTCAGGTCAAGGTCAGGTCAAGGTCAGGTCAAATTAGGTCAAATTTCAAAGTTGATATTTTTGCATAAAATGGGTATCGATTCGATGCAGCTCGTCACGGGGAGTTCAATGGTGGTCTCCGTTTTGCGCTACCAGGTCTAGAATTGCTAAAAATTGAGTTCAAAAATTTAACGTCATCAATTTTTAACAGTTTTTTTGCTATAACTTGGCCAAAAAAAGAGGTATCGATCTAAAATTTCGTATGTATATCGAAGAGCGTAGGGACTATCACATATATTCCGGTTTTTTCGAAATTCGAAAAAATTTGGAAATTTTTTGAGTTTTTCTAAAAAAATCATTTTTTTTTATTTTTGGGGGTCAAAGTCCCAAAATTTCGAAAATCCGAGATAGCAGTTTTGTAGCGCCGTCTTTTTTCTACACAACCACATAAAGAACTTTAAAATTGCTTGTTAACTGTAGAATTGGTGAGCGTTTCAAGATGTCATGTTTTTTGCTCATTTTTGCTCGAACATGACCTCAGTTTGACCTCAATAACTCCTGACCTGAGGTGACCTGTGACTTGAAATTTTGTGTGAAGGTGTTAAATTGATGCCCGGTAAGGTACCCAAAATTTGGCGGCGCTGCGCGCCGCCGTTTTCTCGCTATTTAAGAAAAAACCACAGGGGGGCCAAAATGGCCCCCCCATCAGGGCGCGGGTTAAAAATCCGATAAACTGTCACTTCATCCGCTCGCCCGTGTCCGTCCCGTCCGTGTCCGTTCCGTCCGTGTCCGTACTCCGTTCCGTCCGTGTCCGTACTCCGTTCCGTCCGTGTCCGTACTCCGTTCCGTCCGTGTCCGTACTCCGTTCCGTCCGTGTCCGTACTCCGTTCCGTCCGTGTCCGTACTCCGTTCCGTCCGTGTCCGTTCCGTCCGTGTCCGTTCCGTCCGTGTCCGTTCCGTCCGTGTCCGTTCCGTCCGTGTCCGTTCCGTCCGTGTCCGTTCCGTCCGTGTCCGTTCCGTCCGTGTCCGTTCCGTCCGTGTCCGTTCCGTCCGTGTCCGTTCCGTCCGTGTCCGTTCCGTCCGTGTCCGTACTCCGTTCCGTCCGTGTCCGTACTCCGTTCCGTCCGTGTCCGTACTCCGTTCCGTCCGTGTCCGTACTCCGTTCCGTCCGTGTCCGTACTCCGTTCCGTCCGTGTCCGTTCCGTCCGTGTCCGTTCCGTCCGTGTCCGTTCCGTCCGTGTCCGTTCCGTCCGTGTCCGTTCCGTCCGTGTCCGTTCCGTCCGTGTCCATCCGTATGTGTCCGTCCCGTCCGTGTCCGTCCCGACTCCCGTCCGTGTCCGTCCCGTCCGTGTCCGTCCCGTCGTCCATCCCGTCCCGGTCCGTGTCCGAGTCTCGTTCGTGTCCGTCCGTATGTGTCCGTCCTACCCAGCGTATCGTCCCGTCCCGTCCCGTCCGCCGAGTCCGCCGGGTCGTCGTTTAGGCCGTCTCGTGCTCTCATCCCTCGCCTCCAGATCCGCATCCGACCGACCGCGACCGCTCCGGGTCCGGAGCCGAACTGGGCCTAGGCACCAAGATTACTTTACTACTCGTAGGCACAATCTTGGTAGGCACTGCCTCTCTAAGGCTCTAAGTCTAGTCTCTGCAATTCTGCATCGGGCATCCTGATCCCGGATCCGCCCGCTTGTTCGACCCATTTCGTGCCCGCCAAAATGAAATATCTCCATTTGATACGACCGTACGGGCCGCATATAGTCCTATGTACGTACGGCCCAAGCGTACGGACCATACGGGCCATTCGAAGCGTCATCCAAGGCTAAAGTAATCTTGATCCAAGGCCCTATAGGATAGGGTTTTGGCGTCATCCGTCAAGACAGGCGTCACGCCTTCGTCGCCAGAAATATGGCAGCAATCCTTCGTCGGACCATTTTTGGCAAATGGCGTCGGTTGTTGAAGGAATGCCATTGATTGGGTGAGTCCGTTGCTTTGTTCCTTGAATTTTCGCGTGCTGATCATGGGAACTGTGGTGTATGATTATTTTTTGTCATTTACACTTTTGTTTAATCACTAAAATCCATGATTTGTTATTTGTCTTTTCTTTTGTTTTTATTTTCCGAACTATTTCTTCATCGTAATTCTTAGGCAAAAGTGGCGCAGACATTGTTTTGAAAATTGTCTGCTTTTATCATTTTTAAACATTTGCCCGGTGTTTTGTTGGCAATATTGCTATTATTTGCATAAATGGCAATGGCTGTTGTAAGTTTTTGCAACCATACTGGTTCTGGTTCCTGATAACATCTGCTTGATGTGGAAGCATGGCAACAAATGTCAGCTTACCTCTTTGCAGATTGAAATTGAATTGCCAATCTGACATTTTTGATACTGCAAGTCACCACAATGATGCACATTGTGCAGTGGCGCGGGATCCAGGGGCTAGCGGGGCCCCGCCCCAACATTTCGGCTAGGGGGTTCATAATGTATTTGAGCCCCCCCCCCACCATAGCTGGAGGAATCGAAATCAGAAATCTACCAACATAAATTCATAGATTCATACATAGGCGCGGGAACCATGGGGAAGGGGGCAGGGGGGAAGCTTGCCCCCACAACTCTGGGGCTGTGGGGGTGGTGCCCCACAACTTTTCATGAGGCCAGGAACTGTTTGGGCAGCTTGTCCTCCCCAAATTAGGGGTTGTGGGTCACAAAGGAAGAAAGCATGTGTGAAAAAATCCACCTCTTTCACTGGCTCGGCAACTCATTTGGCAGATTAAAACCTTGATTCCAGGTTGCCACTCAGTCAGCTGATATGGAATACCTCACTTTTTTGCAAATATTTTCGTTTTTTTCGTTGAAAAGGCAAAGGTCTGAAAAATAATTGGCCTAAAACCGGTGAGAAAATTATATTTGGGGGTACCCAAGGTTGATCTCTATTATGGTTCAGCCCCCCAGTCTGGAAGAAGTTCCCGTGCCACTGACATTTGCACTGATTGGATGTTGCCTTTTTGGTTCTTATCTCATAACTTTTCATTATCATCTTTTTCAGGTGATCCGAGGCTTGGAGCATCTCAATCTTGACCTAGGGTCTCCGCGTAATATTTGAGTTCGAGGTAAGGATGTTTTTTTATTCTTGTTGACAGACTAGAGGATCATAAGTTAGTCAGATAATTATGAAAAACATGGTGTGTTCCTAGAGTTTTGTAGCATTGCCACTGAATTAGCAAATTATGCTGTGACATATTGTCACATTAATAAAAAATAAGTGTAAGAAAATGTTTCAAATCACTATCTTACACTCCTCAGGTTCACCCAGCCTAACAAATATTTTTAGATGATTTCCTCAGTGTCCCAAAATCTGCCAGTTTGGGTGGGAAGGGGCATCCAAATCAAAATAATTTTCCGCTCCCACATCCAATTTTCCACAACAATTTTCACTCCCTATTCTACCAATAGAGCATCTGCGCGTAACTTTTACCTACTCCATATTCGATTCAATAATCTTATAGGTAAAGCAGCTCCCACATCCTCCAAAATTCACAAATAAACTAATGATTTCTGTTTTCCCTCTTTCTCTGCCTTTCTGACTGACATTGTGACGAATATTCCCCTCTGACACCCAAGCCAAAATATAATTTTGGGACACTGGATTTCCTAACCCTAACTGCCAAAATTAACAGTCTTGTATGACTAATTGCTTAGTGAATTTATGAACTGGACCTTCTGATTTTTTTAAGTACCTGCAATTAAGCAAAGAGAGGTTTGTATTGGTCAGATTTAAAGTCTTTTGAATCACTTTGAGTGCAAATGTAAATATGGCATGAGACATGCCATTGCGATGAATATAAAATCAAAAGTGAAATCAAGAGTAATATTATACTTTCAGCTTAAAGCTTCACCTGTGCCTTCCACTTAAGCACTTGAAGCAATTAGACAGGCTGATTAAGAAACTAGTGATGAAATGCTAAGCTGGACTGTACTGAAACCAACCTAAGCTTTAATTTTGCATTACATCACCTAGCTTTAAGTGTTTGCTAGAAGCTGGTGGCTCACTACATAACAGAATTCAGAAATGAAATGGAAGACAAGTGATTATGTAAATGCCTTACCATTTAGTCATGGATGCCAGAATGACTGTAAAGAATAATCCTTTGAATGTAGTTATGTAGTAAAAAGTGACATTTTCTCTTTGAAGATGCATTAGATGGGAAATGATTTACTCCACAATTTAGACATTGGCAGTGAGTGCAATCTGATTTCTTTTTTCAATTTATTATCTACCATGTGGGTAGTGTAGCTTTGAAACATCAGAAAAGATGGCATTTGTGGAGTTTATTACCTCAGGATAATCATTCACAAGAGTTGTTATTTAAGAATTGTCTTGAATTTTGCAGCTCATGTGATGTAGGTACTCATTTTTATATGCAGTCCTGTTCTCATGGTGATGCGAATGATATTTATTCGAGACATGTGCACTTTTGTGTCAGCTGCCTGCCAAAATGTTCAGGGATGAATATGTACAGCCCTCTGCAAACTGCGTGGTAGGTATTCCTTTTTCGACAAAACCGAGAATAACGCGAATACTATGCCATCGGTCACTCGGAAATCGTATCAGTATGACGCGCAAGACTTCGCACCTTAGATTGGCATTATCATCGTGTTCATTTTCTATCCAGTTTGGCAACAAAATCCAAAAGTTTATATTTGCCCCCAAAACAGACTTTTGCATTTTGTTGCAACACAAGGCGTATACTTTGTCTAGTGATGGACCTAATCGAAGAAGTGGAGCATGGCGCATCTATTTGCAGTGAGTTCCGACCGACTGATAACATAGCCTTTGAGTTATCACCGGTTTTGTCGAAAAAAGAATACCTACCACGCAGTCTGCTGAGGGCTGTACCAGCAAGCCACAAGTCAGGTAATCATGCACATTTTGTACAATCGTTGCATGCACAATGCGTGTCTAAGATACATTTTTGCCAAGAGATGTATGGCGCTGTCACTGTCTTGTGCCCTAATCGGTAGTAAAATATAGCCAGTAGTGTAAACCTGTGTCCAATGCCCGGTCACGTGGGCATCTGCCCTCTAATCAGTGGCCTCCTGCCCTACAACCCCCGGTGCGGTGTGCGGCAGCGGGCGCCGGCGGCAGCAGCGATGAGCGGCGCCGGCGACCAGCGCGTGTTTCTGGTGGACGGCCAGGCCGTGTATCTGGAGGGAGGCGGCGACATCTCGGAGGACGTGCTGCAGCAGGCACTGGCGCAGCTGGCCGGACGGGGCGCCGCCGCCACCGAGGAGCAGCAGCAGGCGGGCACCGTGCTCGGTAAGCGACTCTGCAAATGGGGACGGAGTATGGAATCGATGGTTGGTGCCTAATTCGTCGGCCTTCCATTTTTACGAATAGACCAGGGCCGATGGTTCCGTGTATTTCCTGGCCGATCCACTTGATGTGAATTGTGGACGGACGACCACATTTCTAAGAGACATTTGGTGGGAATATTACGCTACAACCTAAATATTTAGGACATAGCAGATTTATTACGAGCTAGCAGATTTGTTACGAGTTCATGAGTTGAATTGCCGAAGCTGTCCGTTCCAATAAGCGGTACCGCTGAGTCTAACCCCACCACTCTGCCGTCTGTGTGCGCCCACAGAGGTGCAGGACGATGGCGGCGCCGCCGCCGGCGGGGCCAGCGGTGACGCTGTGGAGCTGGCGGACGCAGAGGACGGCGATGAGGGCGTACTGGCCGTGCTGCAGGACGAGACCGGCCAGCAGCAGACGGTCCGACTGACCCCCAGCCAGGCAGCCGCGCTCGGCATCGACTACGACGAGCTGCTGGCCGCCGCCGGACAGGTGCGTGGGTTTATCGGACAGTCGCCGGACAGTTGTGTGTCTGTCAGACATTCACCGGACAGGTGGATTCTTCAGACATTTTCCGGACAGGTGTGTGCCTGTGAGACATTCACCGGACGGGTGTGTGTCTTGTCAGACTTTGGACCAGAAGGCGTGTGTCAGGACAGCCTCTGCGTGTCCGGTGTATGTCAGATAGTCGCCGGACAGGTGAGTGTCAGACAGACAGAGTCGCCAGGCAGGACGTATCTTTTAGACAGCCTTTGTATGTTAAATAAGTGTATCTGACTGTGTCTATCTAGATATGTCTTGGTGTGTCTGAGTAAGCGTATCTCCCAAAGTGTATGTCAATGTGTGACGGTGTCCCGTCGTTACCGCCAGGTGGAGCCGTCGGCGGAGGAACAGGAGGAGTCTGCCGACGCCTCCGCTGCCGAGCAGCAGCTCTCGGCTGGCGGGGTGCTGGCTCTGGACGCCGGTAAAACCGAGGAGGGAGACAGCAAGGTGAGCGAGAGGCACGATCATCCTCTGTGTGAGGCACATATAGCATGAAACGTGAAAAAATAATAAGCCAAAATTGATACACTTTACTTGGGCAGGCGAAACTCGTACTACAAGATATCAATAAACGTCGAACTCGTCTCTTTAAATTTGGCCTACGATACGGTAAAAATGTAGCTCAGTTTCGGGAAGTCAGGCGTGTGGGCACAAATGTCCCCGTACCCGACACACTGACGTTAGACGATCACATCTGATAACACGCGCCCCTGCCGCAGGTGACGTACACGTTCGAGGTGGTGGACGACCCGGAGCAGGCGGACGGCGGTTCGGCCGGCTCCGACCTGCTGGCCAAGTCCCGGCAGATCATGGTGCCCCAGGTTCGGCCGGGCGGCACGGCGGCGCCCTCCAAATCGGCCGCCACCGCCGCCTCGACTGTCACCGCTGCCCGGCTCACCGTCGGAAAGGTGCGTGGAGCCCAGCGGGGAACGGGGATCATTGGGACTCTGAGGAATAAGTCGAGGAGGGGACTGAGTCTCACGAGTAGCTCCCATTTAAACTTGTGCTGGATGCCTGGTTAATATTGTGTTTCATTGCTAGGGGCATTTACTGTCTTAGGGGGGCCCAAGTTGAGTTATTACGTCCTAATATTGTGTTTCATTTCAAGGGGTCTTTGTTGGCTTGGGGCCCCAAGTTGGGACCCGGTCGTCTTGTTCCGGCCCGGCAGCCTGTGTTCCAGTAAGTTGTGGTTTGTCTCGCCTTAGTGTCGCAGCCAAAGAAGTGTGTTGTCCTGTCCAGTCCAGTCGAAGCTAAATGTGTGCTGTGTGTCCCGTCTGATATCCATTGGTGAGCTGTTCCGACGCCCCTGCTTACCCTATCGGCCCACGTTCCTATCTGACCGGCTCTGTCTCGTACCCCCTCAGGCGGCGTCTGGGTCTGGAACTACCACGGCCTCCGCCGGCGGTACCAAGTCGGCGGCTGCGGACGGCGCCAACAATGACGCGAACGGCGCAGGCGCCACAGCAGAGGTACAGTGGGTCACCGCTCTCACGTCTACCGCTGCAGTTAGGAGCAAACTGTATTTCAGAATGCATACCTGCAGAGTGCTGAGGCCTGGAACAGCACTTGGTTAAATGGGTCGGCAATTTTTACTTGAGCGTCTTGTGGGTAGGCAATATGCATCTAAACTGGTCCAAATGGCTGAGTCACTGGCATTCAAAAATACTTGCATATAGCAGTATTTGACATAAAAGACCCCCGACCCTTCCCCCACCCCCACTGCTCACCAGGCAGTCCAGTAGCCAATTAATGACCAGCCCCCGTCCCCCTTTGACCGACGCTCTGGCGGTGATTTCAGGATCCGTCGGAGGACGACCCCGACGTGCCCGTTATCCTGACGCCCATGAACGGCCAGAACCTGCCGGACTTCATCGAGCCGCGGCCCGGCCTCAAGATCCTGGTGCGGCCTCTGCGCGAGACGCCTGGCGCGCCGCCGCCGCCCGCGCGGCCGCTCGGCTCTTCAGACAACCCGATCCAGCTGGTGCAGCAGGGCAACACGTTCAAGTCGCTGCAGCCGCTGAGTGCCGAGCAGCTCAAACAGATCGCCACAGTGCTCCAGCAGAGCAGGCTCAATGTGCCCGGAAACGCCAAGAACACCATCTACGACGCGAATACCAACACGCGCATCGTGTACCGGTGAGGCGGCCGCAGAGATACGCTGGGGGAGGAGGGAGGAAGGGGGTGGTAACTGGTGGGAGAGGATCAGAGATACTGTCCTAGCTGACCGCCGGAGACGCGGGTTTCTGTCTGGGTCATGGCGACCGGTACGTTTAGCTGTGTTGAATAATTAGACCATTAATAAGCGCAGCATGTTGAACACTGAACAGTAATAATTGCTGGAGGTCTGAACTCTGACCGTATATGACTTGCGAAGGCAGAAGTCGACCGACTTATGACGTGAGCTGGCCTTTGACCTGAGATGACCTGCCCCGAACTCTGACCCATGACCTCTGACCTGAGCTGACTTCTTCCGGCAGGGTGGTGTACCCGGAGGACCAGCGGCCGGCCGGTCGGGGCCGCTCCTCGTCCTACTACACTCCGCGCGGCCGGGGTCGGGGTCGACCTCGCGGCCGGGGCCGGGGTCGCGGCAGGGCGCGGGGCCGGCCGCGCAAGGAAGACTACGACCAGGACTGGCACCCCGGCATGGACACGGAGATGGAGCCGGTACGTTCTTTTCTTCTCTCTCATGGTCTTTGCCGTCAACTTGGGTAGCTTCGTAAGACAGTTCGTAGGACAGTGCAGTTCCAGATCTGATTCACCATTGTAAGCTAGTGGTATCCGTATATCGTAAGCTAGCCGCGGCTGTTTTCTCCTGCCCAGATCGAAGCGTGTTTCCTTCCTCAGTCAACACCCCGCTCTGACCACTGTCGATTTACAGGTGGATCCCGCCGAAAAGAAGAAAATCACGACTAAAACTCGAACGGGGCGCGTCTCCAAGCCTCCCAAACACATGGTCAAGGACTACAAGCATATTCACAGGTAGGCTGATTGCCGGACAGTCATGTGGAATTAATTGCTTCTGTTTCTGATTCTTTTGATGGTGTTTGGTCGACTTAAATGTCCAAAGGTACTTTTATGCGTACCGACTTATCCTGGTATTATAATCTTGTTTTTGTGAGGCTGAATGCATTTATTTGGATGTGATTAGTGATTGCCCACCACCCATTATGGTTCTAATCCTATGAACTGAATGCTGAAATTTTCGGCTTAGACATCGGATTTCTGACCTTACTAAACAGCTGTATTGCCACCCAACCCCACTGAACGGCTTTGTCTGACCCAGCCGCAGCTGACCCACTGAGTCTCACCTCTGGCCTGTTTCAGACTGGACCTGAACCAGCCGGACCTGGACGATTCGGACGGCGGATATTCGGACTACGGAGACCTGGAGACGGGCGGCGACGGGGAGGCAGAGGGCGGCGTGAAGACGGAGCCGGGCGAGGATGGGGAGGCAGGTCAGTACAGACAGGGAGGGAGTGGAGAGTGTATAGAGACGGGTGCCGACGGGGAGCAGGACGGGGAGAGGCCGAGGGCGGCGTGAAGACGGAGCCGGGCGAGGATGGGGAGGCAGGTCAGTGAGAGGGGGGAATGGGGAAAGTATGGAGACAGGCAGTGACGGGGAGTAGGACGGGGAGAAGGAGGGCGGCGTGAAGACGGAGCCGGGGGAGGACGGGGAGGCAGGTCAGTGAGAGGGATGGGGAGTGTGTAGAGACGGGTGCCGACGGGGAGGGGGAGGGCGGCGTGAAGACGGAGCCGGGGAAGGATGGGGAGGCAGGTCAGTACAGACAGGGAGGGAGTGGGGAGGACGGGGAGGCAGGTCAGTACAGACAGGGAGGGAGTGGGGAGTGTATAGAGACGGGTGGCGACGGGGACCAGGAGGGCGGCGTGAAGACGGAGCCGGGGGAGGACGGGGAGGCAGGTCAGTGAGAGGGGGAGGGAGTGGGGAGTGTATAAAGACGCGGCGGCGTGAAGACGGAGCCGGGGGAGGACGGGGAGGCAGGTCAGTGAGAGGGAGTGGGGAGTGTATAGAGACGGGCGGCGACGGTGAGCAGGAGGGGGAGAGGCCGAGGGCGGCGTCAAGGAGCCGGGGGAGGCGGGTCAGTGAGAGAGACTGGAGCAGGTCATACAGAAGCGGCACCGGAGGGAGAGGCAGGTCAGTCTGCAGGGATGAGACTGTGAGGGATGTTACAGAGGCGAGAGACAGGTCAGCCAGTAGGGCGAGAGTACTCAGAACTGACCGTGCCATATAGAGAGGCAGCCGCGGAGAGTTCAGGGGACGGAAAATCTATAAAGATGCAGACGAATGGATGAAAAGCTCATCCTTGGCAATAGGGAGGACTCCTAAAAAAGGTTCCAGGCAGTTGGGTTCACAGGCTGAGGGGGCGGTGTTCTGACAGCGGTATCTGTCAATATGATGTGGAAGTGGACTGGATGTTAAGCACAACTATCTAGTGAGAGCCGGATGGATCAGATCTCTTTGTGTAAAATTTGTCGCAATGTCACCAGAACTGCCCGTCCCGCCTCTGACCGAGCTGATCTCCCCCTTCTGTGTTCTCTGGCGCAGGGACATCCTCCAAGTCTGGCCAGCGACTGACTGCCGCCGGGACGCCGCGGGTCAAACGCGAGGTGCCGCAGGCGGTCCGTGATCGGTTCACCTGCCGGACCTGTGGAACGCTGTGTATTGGCTACGCCCGGCTCGAGGGCCACTATCGGAAAAATCCCACACACAGGAGACACTGTGAGTGTTTCTAAGGTCTTTCTCAGGGGTGGGATGGGTGAAATGTGCACGTTGGACTTGGTAGCGTGCAGTGGCGGCGCCACGAATTTTCGCCAGTGGGGGCAAGCTTGAGACTGACCCAACTGTTGTCTGATAACGCCGATCTGCAAAATCCATGAGCACCTTGTCCCTAGATGTTGTTATTCAAAATTATTTTGGTTTCAGGTTTCATGCATAGGCGTATAGTTTAACCATTAACCCTCGCGGGCCCGGAAGGGGGGGGGGGGGCGTTTTTCGCCTCCCCCTGGCGAATATTTGCGATACCTCACGAACGCTTAGGGATAGAAAGACGAAACTTGCTGTACCTTATCCCCCATTAATTTGACATCTTTTGAAGCAAACAATTTGGACCTAGCCTCCTTGATAATGTCTCAGGGCCGATTTTTCTAGACTCCTGCACGGCAAACTTCGGCGTCACAGACGTGAACTTCAACCAGCTGCCAAAAATTGAGTTTTAGAGATGAAGACAAATTACGAGCACGGTTGTGTAGCATTTGACCTAGAAAAAATACTTAAGTAACTTTGGTGACCTGAGGTCAGAGGTCAGGGCAACGACCCCGAGCTGGGGCTTTAGTTTCTTTTTCGCAAATAATTTCAACAAAAAATGGTCCAGTCCAGGAGCTACGGCAGTGGTACCTTCGCATTAGTCTTGTCGAGACGCGTCGAATGACATGTATATTGTTTGGAAAAGGTGAAGTTTTATGTTGACCTCATGTGACCTCGAATGACATTTGGTTGATTTTTTACACATGGAAGGTCATTTGTGATGATTTCGTAGCCGCTGATCACGATTCTGGGCCTCTGGCATCCATTTTGCTGTAAGCATTCATTTAGAGCCTCAGTATGGCAAAACATGTCTTAATTATTATGCCTGACGTGAATAGTGAAATAGCCTCTAGCAAGGATACTCTCTTGTGACTTTGACCTTGTAGCAGCCTTGTATCGTAAGCTAAGGCACAAATAGGGGTCCGCTAAGCTTGAAAACATATCAAAACATCTCGGAATTTAGTATACAAGATATTAAGAAAAAGTGCAAAGTTTGTGGTCAATTTTGAGCATGATCGTGACCTTGAATTTGAATGTTATGCACATCATCGGAATCCACGGATGCTCTTCTTTTGTTCAACATCCCTTTTAGCCGATTTTATGCACCATGCCGTCCTCTGGAAACACGTACTTTGAGACCACTACATAAATGCCGGTTTTTGCCTTTGACCTTGAATTCTGACCTTGAAAACTGACCTGAGGTCAAAAAGTTTAGGTGCTTTAGAATCTTCTCATAGATACTTTTCGTTTGGTACCATTTTTGTTTCCGTAGCTGCCCTGCCTTATTAACGGAGTTAAACAGGGGGGGGGGAGGGCTACCCCGGGCTGCGGTGGTTAGGATTACCCCCGGGCCCGGCCGAAATAAAACTATAAAACTAGATTGCGAGACACAAACCTGTGAAAACGTTATGTTGTTCGTTGAGATGTAAAATGGTGTGTTCCTCAAAACTATAGTCGGTACCTATTTCTCCTTTTCCCCGTAGTACGTATAGATGTGCGATTCTCTCACATAGGTACGATTGATATAGGTACAAGAACAAGCTCCATTAGGGCGACCCACATACAATTCCAGATAACCCGGAATATACATACCTATCACATTTTGTCATACCTCTCTGAGCTCAGTCTCAGTCTAAGGGTTCCCAAAAGAAGGTGATCTCTTCTCTGGCCGACTTTTGATAAACTACTTCTCAACCTCCTCGAGATCAAGTTCGAGGGCAGCCTTTTGGTGAATGAAAATGAGTAGGAAAATGAGTGGGAGTAGGAGATATGCGACAGACGGTCCGAGAACGAACGTTCTGCTGACGCACTTGATACGAGGACCGTCAAAAACAGGCGTACTATTATAACCTCCTATAATGAATGTTGCACCGTTCTTCTGTTCCCATACATCAGCCAAATTTTGTGGGGGCAAAAACATAGTCTTGCCCCCACGGCCTCTTGCCAGTGGGGGCAGTCTGCCCCCACTGCCCCCACGGTGGCGCCGCCCTTGGTAGCGTGTGTGTAACTACGTTGACTATTCTTTTTTTAGGCATCCAGATCATGGTAAAAGTATTCCGATGGATTTGTCATGCAACGTGTATCCGCGCTTCGCACTGGCGGTTGAAGTTAGTCGTATCATTTGTGTTGGCCGTTGGGTTAGTCTGCCAGTTAATGTGCTTGAACTGGGGAACTATTGTTGGTGTTCCTGACACCTGGCCCTGTCTGTTGGCAGCCATGGACTTCCCGTCTCCGGTCAAGCCGAGGCCCGCTGTGGTGTACACAGGTGAGTGTCGGACGTGTGATGCTACCTAACGTATTCGACGATACGATGCGACGGGGCCGCAACAGCAGCCTGATAAGTGGTCTTTGAAAGCTGCTATGTCTCGCTGCCCCCCAAGGTTCCAGTACTAATGCTGCAGCTGTCTATCGTCATAAAATGACTACCTACTTTGTTTGTTAACCCGCGCCCGGCTGGGGGTCCTGGATTTCCACGCCCTGCTGGGGGGGGGGTGTTTGAACCCCCCCCCTTGTAACTCGGCTCCTGGGCCACGTAGCGATACTCGGAAGGCGGCGTTCGAAAGAGCGTCAAAAATAATGACGAAATCACTTCGGTCAATTTTTGGGTCAGGTCAAAGGTCAGGTCACCAGAGGTCATTGAAGGCCAAATTTGGCCGATTTCCAGGTCGAATAGCGAAAATTTCCAAGAAGCCAACGCATAACTCGGGAACCAATAGAGCTACAGCGCCGCGGAAAAGCGCATTCGATAGCCCTATTAACGCCCTTTCTGAGTAATTCTCTCAGATTTGACCTAACGTCAACGGTTTTGCCTGCAGGGGGCAAAAACTACAAAAATAGCCGATTTTTTCGGAAACAGTTTTTCGGCAATAACTTTTGACCCAAGCCTTGTACGAGCTTACTTTTACCGGCATCGTGTTCCTCTCATCAAGACGCATCGAATGAACTATAACTTGACCTTGAAAGGTCAACTTGAAAATTTGACCTCAGTTCAAGGTCATGACCTGACCAGAAAGGGTCATGTTGCATATCAGTCGATCCGTATCGTCGAGCTGAACACATCTAAGGCGTTTTCATCGCTCTAGCATGCCTCTATCAAAAGTTATTTGCGAAAAACTGTTAGATACCATTCGTGACCTAAGATGACCTCAGGGCATAAACAAAGGTCACGGACACCACTTTCGTGTTCAGTGTGTCTAATCCACTTGCAATTCGGTGTTTGGGAGTGTTTATAATGTCTTTCATCCAAAAGAGGCGCATTTCAATTTTCTCCCATTGACTTATAATGGGGAGGTCGCAAAATTGACCTGACCTTAGGTCATCGATATCAAAATTCCGAGATATACATTTTGTACGTGCTATTGCTCTTAGCAATCGCTGAAAGTTTCAAAGCGATCGGTCACTCGGTGTAGCTATGACAGACATTGAAACTTTTTATGAGGTGAGGTCACTTCAAGTGACCTGATGACCTGACCTTGAATGACCTTGGTCTGAAATTTTCACAACATGTGTAGAATTGATGTATGATAAGGTGTACCAAAAACGGCGGCGCTCCGCGCCGCCGTTTTTGAGATATTCGCGAAAAACCACAAGGGGGGGGGGTGTTCAAACACCCCCCCAGCAGGGCGCGGGTTAATTGGGGCTTTAGGGCGCGCCGACTACTAAGGTCATTCAAACCCCAATGAACGTAAACCCCAATGAACGAACTACTAAGGTCATTTTGCGCCCATAAAATGACTACTTTATACCCCAGTTCTTTGTGTGACGTAGTAGCCATTAGGAGGTGGTACCCCTCTGATCGTCGTGTCTGTGCTGTTTTTCAAATCTCAGGTCGGAGAGGTCGGCCACCCCGCCAGCCTGCGTTCGAGAGCCGTCTGCCTGCCAAACGACCCCGGTTGGAGGTAAGCACGGAGTCTGGGCCACGCCCGAAGACCCCCAGGGACGCCGTGGTTCGTCCATCTCGCTCTAATGACGGCTGGTTGCGATTGATGGACTTTTGATTACGCTGTGGTTGGAAATGCTTACGGTGCAACGTTATCGCAGACTACCTGTTCACCTCGCCTTTTCCGGTTATCCAGTCAGAATTGGACAGTTATGAGATCGCAAGGTTCCGTGTTTCTGCGAGACTAGCGTAATTGATCATCAATTCACTTGAATGATCACTTATTCGTTGCCTCTAAGAGTGACTCATCCCCCATGTCCCACTGACCCACCTTCCAGTGTACCCCTTAGCTACATTGCAATGACCCTCCTGACATCTGCCCACATTCATGCCCCTCTGGACCACGTTCATTGCCTTTATGACCTCTTACCCTCGTTACCCCTCTGACGGCTGTCTGATCTTCCCCCCAGGAACCCAAGGAGCCGGAGGAGGAGCCGCTGTCGCCGGAGCAGCTGGTGACCACTCTGCTGGACCAGTCGGGAGGCAGCATCAACCGGCTCTGTGACGCCATGGCCGAGTGTGTCAAACAGTTTCGGGAGCGGGTACGCGGCGCGCTGCGCTCCCCCGCTGAGGATGAGGAGGTGGACGAGAGTGCCGCATTCACGGTGAGAAATGGAAAGATGTGAAGGGTGGTGGTTGGCGAGTGTGTGTTATCTTATTCATGTTGAGAAATGAGCAATACGGATATTTATTTGTATGGTGAAACTAGATAAACGGGGCACCGTTTTCACAGTGCCTGGAGTGATTAGTAATGAAACACAGGTTCAAATGAGAAACAGGTTCATCACATCATCACATATTGTGTCTGGTGTCGCCGGTTGTTATGTCCGCCTGCGGGAGTCCTGACGACCTACGTTTCCCGCCTACAGATCGACGCCGAGCGGTCGGCGCTGACCGGCCTGCCGGAGGGCGTCTACTTGCCCACCGAGCGGCCCGCGTCAGCGGCAGCCTCAGCCGTCTCGTCGCCGGCGCCGTCGGCCGCTGAGCAGCCCCAGTCTCCGCGGCCGCCGGCCGCCGCGCCAGCCACACTCACACTAGAGGAGGCTCTGGCCGCGCAGATGGAGGAGCCGCCCGAGCAGCTGATGGAGACGGAACCGGAGCCGGAGCCGGAGCCAGAGCCAGAGCCAGCGGAAAAGGAGGGAGTCGACACACAGGAGCCCATGGAGCAGGACGCTGGGGCCGCTCCCGCGTCGGCCGAGGGTGACACGAAGCCGGCGGGCTCTCCGGTGGAGAAGTCTGACCCCGCCGGTACGGCCGCGGAGGGCGAGCGGCCGCCGGCGGGCCGGAAGGAGCCGGCGGAGCCCGTGGGGGATGTACTGGACGAGTTTGTCGGCGGTCTGGTGGACACGGCCGACTACGCGCCGCTGCCGCCCGGCGGCGAGACGGCGCCGGCGGCGGCGGCCGAGTTTGACGCCGGTCAGATCCAGATCCGGCTGCCGGACGGCCGGGACCTGACGGCAGCCGCCGCCGCGCCGGAGACCGCGACTGAGGCCGGGACCGAGGGCGAGACGGAGGCGGAGGCGGGCGCCAGCATGCCGCTGCTGGCCGAGCAGCGGTGAGCGGCCGGCCGCCAGCGAGGGACCCGAGAACGTACAAACCGCGGCTCCCACCGAGCCGCTGTGAAGAGCAGCCGCTTTTGGCTGCAGTGACGCCATTTGCTGTGGGTGCTGCGCCGCACGCTTCCACATTCACACATTACATTGTACATTCTCATCCCGGATAAATAGCATCTACCCATCGTCACGATTTGGTTGGTTTTGCGAAGCTTATTTGCAACCAGAATTATTATGAACTTCTGGTGTGTGTTGCGCCAGTTTCTAATAAACTGTGAATATGTATCTGTGTTTGTGAAACCCGTGGGTAACTAAACGGTTCACTTTATTTTCAACAAGCGTAGTTGACCGACAGGACATCGCCGACCAACCAAGACACTCAACCATCTCTTCGCTGGTATGACAGATGTCACCAGCGGATATTGGTTCTCTCACAGTATCGCAATCACAGAGGATCCCATGAGCTCACAGTTCCCCTCGCATCCCCTTGTAGGCTGAGGTCCACTGGCCGAGAGAGTCACCCAATGGCGATCAGACCAGTCCTGCTCAATCTGAGTCCGATATGGCGTCAGAGTCGTAGTATGCTCCTCCCAGCAGCCGCGGAACCGGCCGTTCAGACATCTCGGTATCCTCTGCTTGTGGTGCAGTTTGCTTCGAAACCTCGGTATCTTCCGCAGAATATGGCGCCGGCTGCTCGGGCACCGCATCGCTACCTCCTACCGACGATGTTGGAATGTCCGATGGTTCTGCCCGGTCGGAGGGAGAACCAGCTGCCTCCTCTGCGCTCTGTCCACCAGGGGGAGCCACTCGCGCCCCACCTATCGGCCGTCCATCAAAGAACTGCTCGTTCACCACATACCGCACACACTGCAGAAGGATGTTCCGCTCGCGACGAATGTCGTTTGCCAACAGTTTCTCTAGCAGGGTCAGCGGACGGCGCCGTTTTCTGGGAGGCTGTGCGGGGCCACCTCCCCGGCCCCCGCCCCGCTGACCCCGTCCCCGTCCCCGCCGCCACTGGCCCCGGCCGCCCGAGTTACCGTTGGTGGGACGGTCCGCAGAGGCCGGAGCGGTAGCCGGAGAGTCACAGCCGGGGCCGGGAGGCGGTACGGAGCCGACCGTCGTGGGTCTCTCCGGGACCTTGTCACCCCCGCTGGGTACTGATGGGGAGCACTTCGGTCCGGCCGGCGGGTCCTCGTCTACAGGGGGTGGTGCGGGCTCCTGCTTTACGCTACCGTTCCCGTCATCCCCCTCCGCTACGTCACCATTCGTGATATCCTCGCCTTCCGCTGCGTCACCGTTCACGACATCTTGGCCATTGACTTCGTCGTGTTTCTTCATGTCCTGTTCTTCCGCTGCATTCGGATCTCCCGCGTCCTGGTTTTCCGTTGTGCCATTGCTCTCGCACACGGCGTCTGTGTATGCCGTCACAGCCAGAATTCCGGTGAAAGGAGCCAGACCGCGGCACGTTCCCTCCTCGTCGCTGTCTGAGTGAGCTGTCTGCTGCTGGGCAGGCGGACGGTGGTGCGCTCCCCGACCGCGGCCCCTGCCGCCGCGGCCGCGGCCGCGTCCCCGACCCCGCCCGGGCCGCTCCTGCGCCGGCGGGAAGCGGCCGCCCCGCTCCGGTATCCGGATACCGCGCGCCGCGCGCTCTGCCTGCTCGGCCTGCCGGCGCGCCGCCGACTCGGGACGACAGAAGTTGGCGCGCCGCTGCTCGCGCCAGCGCGCGATCGCCTCGGGCGTGTTGAGCGCCATGATGACCTTAGCCAGTCCGGTCTGGTGCTGCATGGTCACATGTTTCTCGACAACGCGCGGGTGGGCAGTGAACGGGCAGTCTTCCAGACCGCAGCGCACGTGCTCTCGGCAGTGCTCGTCCAGCTGCTGCTGTGTGCCGTAGCTGCGGTCACACGATCCGCAGTGGAAAGGCCGTGCGCGCCGGTCCGACGCCAGGATCTCGTCGGTTCGCTCCGGGTGCGCCAGGCAGAAGCGCTCCTTGGCCTCATTCACCAGCCGGTTGACGAGCTGGCGCTGTTGGTCGGCGGCGGCGCGGTCCTCCTCGCAGCTGGAGCGCGCCGCCCGGTTCTGCAGGAAGTTGCGGCGCCGGATCTCGGCCACCAGGTGCGGTGTCATCCACGGCTTGTCGCTGGTGAAGCCGGGCGGCGCTGCCGGAGCGGTCTGAGCGTGCGGCGTCGGCAGGCGGATCTGACCCGGCGGAGGGGGGAAGTCGGGTCGGTACTTCACCGGCGCCGAGTAGAACGGTCGCGCCGCCATCCCAGTCAGTGGTCAGGCCTCCAGAGCTGTAAGGGAAAAGTAACACAGTTGAAAAAGAATGTCATGAATGTTTCTTATCAGAGCTAAGTAAAAAAAAAAAACAGCCACCTGTTTGTGGCTCCAGCATGCAGCTAGAGCAGATGTCTCATGCTCACAGAATAATACAATCTTTTGTGTTTTAGGCAATGTCAGGATGGAAAAATGCATCAGCCTCAAACCAGAGCTAAAAATTTGTTTATCATTAACAATAATCTTTATTTTATGTTGTGATACTTAAATTACTTAATACTTGATACCTATGTATTATATACAGATATTGTGTAAGAAAATTCAAAATACACAATAACACAGTAACATTTAGTCCAAATCTAATGAGTTCTAAAAATAAATGATTAATTAGGTTATCAAATATTTACATGAAATAACAGTATTATTCAATTAGGCAGCTACACAAAACAATAAAGCTTTTGGAATAGGGATCATAAACCACTGCAACTCAGTAGGCGGAACTATGGTCATGAGTACCCAAATATAGGAACGTTCCCATTTTTGGGAACGGAGTTCCCAAATATGGGAACGGGCGTTCCCATTTATGAGAACGGAAGGCAATTTTTCGGCCGTTCGCCCACTAAAACTCAAAAGTGCATCACGTCTCAAAAAAGTGCACGCTGATTTAAGTATCTACTAAATCTCCATAAAGTTATCTTTAATCTGACCGTGGAACAAGGAAATTGACCGTGGAATGATATTTTTAATGATTTTTTAAAAATGACAGAATGGTGGAAATATGGGTTATACGACATTTAACATGCAAGTTTAAGGAAAATGAAGCATTTTTTACATTTTGAGGTCAAGTATAATAATTTTCGCCTGGTTATGAAGTTTCATTCTAGCGACACCAGATGATGACATATGCAAGCGAACACGCGGACAGTCCCGAGGTAATATTGTTGACATTTGGTGTCGGGGCGATCGACCGCGTGGAACGTCAGTGATTTTACCGAACTACTGTTGTAAACTCAGTTTCAGTGGTTTAAAATCATTCAGCTGTATTTTATCAGCCCTGAAAGACATATTTTATTTGGATGCTAGCTGTTTAGCGTTGTTTTATAAGCAGTGTCATGAGCGTGGTTTTTGTCTTCGGCGTTTCTAAGCATGATCGGTTGGGGGAATTTCTCTGATATAGGTCGCTCTGTGTGGCTTATTTATAATTTTTATGCTGATTTCGATCATACGTCGTGCCCATCCTACCAGGCCTTTTGCCACTTACACTCATTAAGAAAGGAAAAAACTAGATTTTCATTGGGACTAGGTGTTTTGAGGGTGTAACATATTCAGCGTTCCCATTTTTGGATACTTCTTGTGCTCGTCAACTCTCGGTGATTAGCAGACAGGTGCTTGACATGTCTCCACCCTCGGCGCGGACGGTGGATATAGGTATGGAAGACCTTGTTGAACATCGCTGAGCGTTGTGGATTACGTAATCCTGCAGAGGGGGGCGTGCCCGCTGCGAGATCGACGGGAATAAAAGCGCAGAAGACCGGGCGAAACATGCAACGGTCTTGCCGGAAAGGTCATCTGATGATTGTTGCGTTAACAATAATTTGCGGCGTTGGACGTGATGCTTGTTAATGAAAAGAGCCCCTGAAAGGCGTCGGTGAAATCGTTCCCAATTTTGGGTACGCCGTTCCCATAATAAGGAACGCTTGCAGCGCCAGTGTACGACAGCGTTCCCAAATTTGGGCTCGCGGCCCGGGTGATGGACTGCTTTAGAAATAGGGGAACGATTTGAAACTACGATGGGTCTTACAATATCAAACTCTTTCCCAACAATATTGAGACAACTATCAGGCGGTTCACGATCGTTTTATATTTTTTGGACGTCATTTAACAGTTCTTTTTCTTGTTTTAAATAATGCCTACATGGCGTTCCCATATTTGGGTTTATCGTTCCCAAACATGGGAACGAAAATGCGTTCCCGAAAATGGGTACGCTTGACCATAGTTCCGCCTACTGAACTGTCCTCAAAATGAAGGAATATTTCCAAATAAGCTATAACTCAAAAGTCCAACTGACGTCATCCCATTGTATATAGTTCAGTAGGCGGAACTATGGTCAAGCGTACCCATTTTCGGGAACGCATTTTCGTTCCCATGTTTGGGAACGATAAACCCAAATATGGGAACGCCATGTAGGCATTATTTAAAACAAGAAAAAGAACTGTTAAATGACGTCCAAAAAATATAAAACGATCGTGAACCGCCTGATAGTTGTCTCAATATTGTTGGGAAAGAGTTTGATATTGTAAGGCCCATCGTAGTTTCAAATCGTTCCCCTATTTCTAAAGCAGTCCATCACCCGGGCCGCGAGCCCAAATTTGGGAACGCTCTCGTACACTGGCGCTGCAAGCGTTCCTTATTATGGGAACGGCGTACCCAAAATTGGGAACGATTTCACCGACGCCTTTCAGGGGCTCTTTTCATTAACAAGCATCACGTCCAACGCCGCAAATTATTGTTAACGCAACAATCATCAGATGACCTTTCCGGCAAGACCGTTGCATGTTTCGCCCGGTCTTCTGCGCTTTTATTCCCGTCGATCTCGCAGCGGGCACGCCCCCCTCTGCAGGATTACGTAATCCACAACGCTCAGCGATGTTCAACAAGGTCTTCCATGCCTATATCCACCGTCCGCGCCGAGGGTGGAGACATCAGTGTTGCCAGGTCGAGTGCTGCCAATACCTCCAGAAAGTGTTGTAAAAACCTCTAGAAACCTCTGTTCCATTGCCGCTGATTATGAGGGATATACCTCCATACCTACCTCCGTATCACAAACCGTGGCGCTGTTTCAAAGCACGCTGCCATCCGCTGCCAGCGCGTGATGACATCATCAAGCCCATTGCTCCAACACTACCAAACGGTCTGTTCCAGTCGCACTTCCATAACACCTTTAAACTCCTCCAAGATTGCTTCCCTGTACCAGTGTCAGCTCTAGCCCCTACAAATCAAAGGAGGGCCCTGCTCCAACCTCCTCTATCTTGCCCTTGGAGGAGTTTAGAGGTGTTAGGAAGTGCGACTGGAACAGACCCAGCCCAAAGTGTGACGTCAGCGCGCTGGCAGCAGCTGGCAGCGGGCTTTGAAACACCCGGTTGTATCCCCAATCAAGATAATTCACTCATCCTTCGCATGCCTTCGCATTTGTCCGCATAACTTGGTGGACTTGGTGCCCACCGTGGGCACCAGGTTTACATAGCCTTGGTGCCCACGTTTACATAGCCTTGGTGCCCACGGTATATCGAGAACTTTTAGCTGCAGCCGGCGGCCAGAGCCTCAATAGTGAACAAGCCAAAAGTAGGTTTTTCGTTTCCATCAATCTGTAAAAAGTGTGTTTAAGCATGCAATACAATAACATGAAATTAAGTAACTAAATAGTTCTCAAGACACCTTGATGCTAATTGTCTTTTCTCGAATTTTCAGATTACCTCTAGAAAACCCTCTAGAATCCGGCATTTTTCAAAAACCTCCAGGAGCCCCGAAACGCTCCCCTAAAACCTCTAGATCTGGAGGTTTACCTCTAGACCTGGCAACACTGGGAGACATGTCAAGCACCTGTCTGCTAATCACCGAGAGTTGACGAGCACAAGAAGTATCCAAAAATGGGAACGCTGAATATGTTACACCCTCAAAACACGGACACGCCTAAGAGCTGGACTTTTTGATGACGTCTTCGGGTGACGTCATGTCGTGTGTGACGTTTCGTGAGCAGGTAAGGAAAAGTCACCACCGCTGGCGAACATTGGTGCGGTAAATGGCAGACACAAATGCTCCGCAGAAAAGACAAATGTGTAACTTCAGTATTCGACGACATTCGTTGGGTATAATTTATACTGTGTTTTCTCTGCATTATTAACATATTCATCATATATACAATATAAGGGCCACATGTTTTTTACAGGGAGACATGTCAGACAGCCCAGTAGGATGAGGCTTCGTCAAGCGTCATTTTTAGCAAAGCTTTTCTAGCATAAAAGTTAAAATGACAACACTCACTGGGAAAATGGTGATATGATATTATTTTAATGGCCATTGAAAATTCTGTTTGTCAGATTTGATATTCTGAACAGCGGTTTGGCAAGATATTTTCAGTACCTAAGTAATCCACTTTGCTAGAGTACTTTTGTGCGCTTTTACGTGAATGCATCCATTTCCCCCTGAAATAAACTTTTATAGTGATATCAAGCATCTTTTTTCATTGTGTTCAAAACTTTGAATTTCAGCGCCAAATGCTGGCTCTGTTCAACCTTGGACCCCCATTCACAACAGCCAGAATCAAGATTCTTTGTCTTCTTTTAAGAACTGCCGGAATAACTTTCCTATCTTACTTCCCTTAACCTGAAACTTGTGTTTTCTCCACCAGGGTGCAAAATTGGTATAATGGTGGTCAAATTTGATTACTATGGCATCATCACCGTAGTCATACTTAGCAAAGCTGTAGTCAAAAACAGTATTGCTAAAAATGACCACTCTTGACCAACCAAACCTCACCCCACTGAGTTCAAACACCATTGTCAAAAGTCCTTACACTCGACTCCCAGCTGTTGTGTCTTTGCTATGTGATGTTAAACATATAAAACATCTTACTATTCATGTATGCGCCATGACTCATGCAATCTTTTCACAGCCAAGACGCTCCTAAGGTACTGGGAATGTGGGGAGTGCAGCAGCATCAGTGCAGCACCGATGGTCGGATGCGATGGCTGCGATAAATGGTACCACTTCCGTTGTGCGGGACTGACTAAGGAGCCAGGTAAGCGCAAATGTTTTCTGTCTCAGTATTTTTGTTGCAGCTATAGTGATCAATGAAATATTTTCCGCACTGTTCAGCCAAACATGTATTTCAAACAATCAGAATCTGCTTCCCAACCAAGGGCGTCACCACAGGGGGGGGGGGGACGGAGGGGATCTCGTCCCCTCCACTTTTTAAAATGTTAACATTACGCCTATGGCGTTGCATGGAAAGAATCGACTTGAAATGGTCCTCGTCCCCTCCAAAATGGTCAATGTCCCCTCCAGTCGTCGCACCGTGGCGTCGCCCCTGTTCCCAACTACACAAATTTAATCAAACAATGTGCCAATATGGAATTTTCAGGTTCCGTTGAATGAAATAGGAACAATGATAATTGTAGATTGCGTATACCTGCAAGAGAGGAAAACAGAATACATTGTATTGCTTGTCCTTCGCCGATACTGTTATTTTTCCATTTCTAGAAACACCGACATGGCGATGCAGGTGGCGCTGCCTGGTGAGGCCGCGGTCTCCGGAATCGCCTGCAGACGAAGTCACCTGGCGTCCATCTGCACATCACTTGCAGCAGTGAGGCCTGCTGACAGCGTCTGGCAGTGTCGGCAACGTGCCAGACAGCTATCTGGAGTCCTGCTCACCGCAGGTCGCCGACAGGAGGGGCGACGCATCGTCTCCGAGGTCGCCTCAGCAGCAGTGAGACCCCACTGGCCGTCTTCTTAGGCTTCAACTAGATTGCGAATAACCTATGCTGAGACAACGCCCATGACGTGTGATCCGGTACCGCTACCGCACTGCGTGCCTGTGCCCGCCGTGAGCCGCTAGTGCATGGGTTCGACCATGAGAATATGTGTTTATGCTGCTTTTTATACTATTGTTTATACGTTGAAGTGACGAATTGTTTATTTTTCGCAAGCCTCCGCTGTCCGGTTGCCTGCAGCTCCATGCAACGCCAGCTGTACTGTTGTTTTAATGTTGTCTCTCCGCTTAGCTGTGCTGTTGCCTCTCCGCTCATAACAAACTATGCTGAGACAACGCCCATGACGTGTGATCCGGTACCGCTACCGCACTGCGTGCCTGTGCCCGCCGTGAGCCGCTAGTGCATGGGTTCGACCATGAGAATATGTGTTTATGCTGCTTTTTATACTATTGTTTATACGTTGAAGTGACAAATTGTTTATTTTTCGCAAGCTTCCGCTGTCCGGTTGCCTGCAGCTCCATGCAACGCCAGCTGTACTGTTGTTTTAATGTTGTCTCTCCGCTCAGCTGTACTGTTGCCTCTCCGCTCATATATGACACCCTCTATATGAATGGCACTACTGATTGTCACACCCACTGTCCGTATTGTCCGTAGTGGTGTCTGAGCAGTAATCGCCACGCACTTTCAGAATGTGGATCGCTCATGATTGCTCAATACAATACAATACAATACGCCCATGTTCATACAGCGTGCAGAATCCAGATTCTATTGAGGAGAGTTGAGCCAAGTCACCATAGGCTCGGGAAGAGAGCAACGTGGAGGCCCACTGCCCCTTCCCCGGCCCCCACTGGGGGCGCCAGCCACTCCAACTTTTGACTGGATGTCAAGAGCGTCGCCACGAGGGGAACGAGTCGCCGGCCAGCCAAGGTAGCCAACGGCGTGTGAAGGTTGCCTGACCTCGAGGAAACTGAGATGGCACCAACGGAGGTTTTGTTAAGTAGGCGACCAAAATTCGAGCGGCAGCAACCTGGGCACCTTCACAGATAGCAGTGCCGCGTATCAGGGCGCCTTCGACGGTGAGCTGGGCGCCGATCATCAGGACGCCGGGGGAATATGACCCAATATCCCTCGTAAATATGTGCCTCGGAAGGGAGACCCAACCATAAAACTGAAAGCTCGCCGTATTTTATCCACTATTTTTCGAGCAGGTCCATAGATTTCCGTCCTCAAAAGTGCGGGGATATTCCCCAGTGTTTGAGTTGGATGGGACTATAGTGGCGTTTACACCGACAGGAGATTCCCATTGCCGGCTGTGGGAAACTACTGTCGGTGTAAACGCCATTCATATTTCCTGCGTCACCCCTGTGGGGACGCCCTTACTCCATGGTGCCGAGCTTATCAATTTGGATATCAATGGAATCAAAATCTCTTATCGATCGATGAAGAACTAAATTACCCCGACCCGGAGAGCGTCTTTGGAATCAAAGCAGTAGCACATGACGTAAGACTTCAGGCAAATAAATCCTTCTTGTCTGAAATAAAACATTTGTGTATTGATAAGCACGTTTTATAAGCAATGGTAGCAAGATTCTCCATGTATTTGGTTAAAGTGATAATTTAGTAGCAGATACTTACCGTCGCATTTCGTTTTTTTAGTTAATAATTTATATTGTCAGAACTAGCAACATGTCTCTTCACTCAACAATAATTACAAAAGTGAAAAGGAAATGATAAATTGCTTATATTTTGGTGAAACTAAAAATAAATTCAGCACATATTTTTTTTACAGCGTTGAAGTCCAGCTCCAAAGGACAGCTGACGATCGTAGCCGAGCAGGCGCTTTGGTACTTCTTCACTACTTCTTAGAAGTACCCGTTAGTACCGATCATGTCTCACATAATAAGCTATTGGAGCAAAAATATGCATGTTCTTCTAATTATTCTCCTTTCACACTTTAAATAAATACTTTTGAAATGCATTTAGTAATAAATTTCACAAAAACGGCTTGAAATTTTACAACGTCAAAATACTTATTCTAATTTCCACCATGAAACCACCACTATATTACTTGCTTACA